CCCAAGGTGCTGGGATGACAGGCATGAGCCACTGCACTCAGCCAATAATTACCTTGGGTTTTATTGAGAGATGAATTATGCACCTCATTTTCTAGGGTTACCTTGGGTAAAGTTTTCTGTATTTCAGTTTTCTCATGTGCAAAATGGAGATAATATTTTCTACCTCATAGTAATGGCAACAGGAATCCATCTGGAGCGGCCACTGCAAAGGTGCCAACTGCAGCAAGGAGGCGTGGCTGGGGCTATGCACTCCACATAGCAGGCAGGAGCCCTACCCTCCTGGGCACAGCTGTAGCCACCCAAGCCACAGCTGCAGACCCAGGCATCTCTGCACTCTTAGGGACTGGGAAGGATCCCATTCCCTCCACAGGCTTGGAGGTGCCTGCTCCCAGTGCCTACTCTGCAGGCTTGTGAGCGCCTGCTGCCACTTTGTGGACTCTCCCTGCTGACTTGGCCCCTCTGGACTTTGGACACTAACTAGCATTGGAGGGAGGCTGAGGGGGTGCTGAAGGCAGCTCAGCGCTGGCTTGTAGGCACCCGTTGGCACAAACAACCTGAGCGCCATGAACAGCAGCAGGAGGCAGACAGGATCAGGGGTATAAAGGGGCGGGTGCCCAATTAAACCCCACCTTCAAGCTGGGGAAGGCCTGGACCAGAGTGGGAACTTACGGTACTTTTTCTGGGCTGCTCATAACTAACATTGGACCAATCAGCACACACTTCTTCCCCTGTGATGCTCATAAAAACCCTGAGACTCAGCCAGACTCAAGGAGACAAGGAGATGACTTGCTTGTGGAGAGGAGCTACCCAATTCAGGGTCTCCCCTCTGCTGAGAGCTGAACATTCAATGGTACATCTTGCCTGTGGAGAGGAGCTACCCACTGCAGGTCTCCTCTGAGCTGTTCTGTTACTCAGTAAAACTCCTCTTTGCCTTGCTCACCCTCCACTCGTTTGCATACTTCATTCTTCTTGGATGCAGGACAAAAACGGGATTTGCTGAATGGTAGGGCTAAAAGAGCTGTAACACAAACAGGGCTGAAACATGCCGCTTGCTCACCATGTTGTGGGTGACAAGGAGAGAAGAAAGAAGGAGAGACGAACTGTGGCCCTTCAGAGAGCCCAGACCTAGGAGCTCCCCAAGCCAGGGATGTGACACCCTCTTTGGGGATCTGCAGTTCCTGGTATCTCCAAGCTTCTGGCCACTACCACATTCCCTGGTGCCAACTGTGGAAGCTGCTTGCAGTATACCTGGTCCAGCTGCAGCCTCACAGAGAGCTAGTGCCTGTGCTGGCACCTGGAGTTGCCCACCCCACCACAGCCAGTGTCTGTGTGCAGTGGCTGGACCCCATGGTCACTCACTCACACACCCTTTGTCTGACTCACCCTTAGCAGGCATGGGATCCAGGCCAGTAGCATAAGCCAAGCACAGCCTGCCAGGCCGTCGGTAGAATTCCAGTGGGCGCGAGTAAAACTTAGACAAAGGTGCCACTAGCCACAGAAGTTTCTGGCTGGCAAAGTGATACCCGAAGAATCCCATGACAATAAGTTTGTGTTGAAGATACAGTGAATTCATGGCCGAGTGCGGCGGCTCACACCTGTAATCCCAGCACTTTGGGAGGCTGAGGTGGGCGGATCATGAGGTCAGGAGTTTGAGACCAGCCTGGACAACATGGTGAAACCCTGTCTCTACTAAAAATATAAAAATTAGCCAGGCGTGGTGGCACATGCCTGTAATTTAAGTTACTCAGGAGACTGAGACAGAAGAATCACTTAAACTCAGGAAGCAGAGGTTGCAGTGAGCTGAGATCGCACCATTGAGATCCAGCCTAGGTGACAAGAGTGAGAATCTGTCTCAAAATAAAATAAAATAAAATAAAACATAAAATGAATTTCACACATTAAAGCTTCCTGAAGAGACTCGCATTTAAAAAGCACTCTATAGGGGTCAACTATTTTTATCATTATGTTATTGTATTATAATGAATATTTAGATGGATTGGAGGAGTTAGGTCATAAAGACAAAATAGAGCAGCATTCAATTGTACATGTACTGCATCTGCTCTCCCCTGAAACTAATGAGGTTTTACTGATAGTAAAAGTTTTTAAAATAATAAAATAAATATCCATTTTGTATAGTGATTCATTTAGTGCCCAGCTATTCTACAAATATTTATTGAGGGCCACTATCAGCCAGGCATTGTTCTAGACAATAGATAGGTCAGAGAACAAACAAAAACTCCTGCACTCATAAAGGATGCATTCATTACCAAGAAAAGAAATCATTTCCTTAGCTTTATCTAATATCTATTTGATTGAATATAATTCATTGCAGTTTTCTTACCATTTTCTTCAGTGTTAAATCTACCAGTTCTTTTATTGCTTCATCAGTATCTTCTTCAGAAGACTGTTGGTGTAGACTGTTCTTCAACATGTCAAACATTTGCTCTTGAGAAATGTAACCATCTCCATTCAAATAAACTTCAAAACAGACTTTTTAAAGCAAAAGAAGTTAAAAGATTTAAACAGCAGTTATTATGTCATTAGTCTTCTCTTTAGTTATTTCAATTTATGAAACTAAAAGATAAAAACAATTTACATTCCATACAATTACTAATTTAATCCATTATATGGTAGAGATAATTTAGAATAAAGTACTCTTTACTGCATTTTTTTCTATCAGATTAAATATTCCTTAGGATGTGAAAATAAAAGAATAATTTCTGGATATTTATATTGAAGGTTTAAAAATGATATGAAGCTGCAATCAAGAAGCTTTGAGATAAAGTTTTTAAGCCTTCGATCATGCAAACATATATACACATACACATGTATAAACGTGTGTATCTATATTATGATTCTCTTCTTACATAGAGTGCAAAAACAAAGTACACACTTCACTGTATCCCTGGCAAAGAACATTTCTGAATATATTTGGATGGTGAATCAGGAATGTCCTTGGGATCTGCCCATCTGCACTATCCAAAATTATCAAATAACCTCTTCCTAGAGAATGCTTTCCATGACTTAGATTTTTGTAAGTACCAAACTTCACTCACTCATCCCACAAATGATCTTACTCAGGTCATTTGTGAATAAGGGAGTCCCACAGTGAAGGAGCTTTTGTGGAGTTTGTAATTCTAATTAAATGTTTTCGCAAAAGTAGGAATAAAACTCGAGAGTATCAGATTAGTTGGGTCTTTTTTTTTGAGACGGAGTTTCCGCCTCCTGGGTTCAGGCAATTCTCCTGTCTCAGCCTCCTGAGTAGCTGGGATTACAGGCACGTGCCACCATGCCCAGCTAATTTTTTTGTATTTTTAGTAGAGATGGGGGTTTCACCATGTTGACCAGGTGGTCTCGATCTCTTGACCTAGTGATCCACCCGCCTTGGCCTTCCAAAGTGCTGGGATTACAGGCTTGAGCCACCGCGCCCGGCTGCTAGTTGGGTCTTTCTGTTGAATTTCTTCAATCTATAGCAAACATGAGTTTGCAATACAACCTGATCAGAAAGTAGTATTTTCTCAAAATTAGCATATCTTTAAATGTATATGAAACATTTTTAGGAACTGAGATTAGAGAAATATTTTTTGCTAACGGGAGGCTGTTCAACCATGTATAGCTGCATTCAGTGTCATAACCATTTTCACCAAATATTAGCATTACCACAAGAATTTACATTCAGAAAACCACTTTTCACTCTTCAGTGAGACTTTTGTATAAAACACTGCAGCAAACCTAAGTGGAAACTTTTATTTATTTATCTATTTTCATTATTTTTTGAAACAGAGTCTCACTCTGTTGCCCAGGCTGGGTGCACTGGTATGATCTCAGCTCGCTGCAACCTCTGCCTCCTGGGTTCAAGCTATTCTCTTGCCTCAGCCTCTCTAATAGCTGGGATTACCGGGATGTTCAACCATGCCCAGCTACTCTTTGTATTTTCTATAGAGATGGGGTTTCACCATGTTAGCAAGGTTGGTCTCAAACTCCTGACCTCAAGTGAGCCATTGACCCAGGCCTCCCAAAGTGCTGGGATTACAGTAGTGAGCCACCGTACCCAACTGGAAACTATATTTAAAAGTTATCTTATCTCATGAAAAATTAGAGTGGGGAAAAAAAGTACAACACACAAAAACTAAAAAATTCATAAATGTCAAAGAAAAGACAAAAGAATTACCCCTACATAATACATGTTTCCTCAGAGGCAGCCTTAGAAACTCAGCCTTACCAGTTGACCAAAGTTAGCACAAGCCCTGACCCTTAGCTGCTGTTCTTAGCATGGGTTGTAAGCCTAAGACCCAACCTGGTGGTAACATTTGGGCATTCCAAAACCAGTGAAGGAAATGTTTGGGAACCCTGGGGCTGGGGACTCTTCCATGACCTTACAATTATGCCAACCATTTCATCTGCTTGTTTTTTTTTTAAGCTGTCATGAACTATTTTTTGTAAGGCTGCTATAAAGAACACTGATTTTATATTTTTAAACATTTAGGCATTCACCAAGTACAAAATTGACTATATATTACTAAGGCAGTAATCACATATAGAAATCTTACACTTCAGCTTTTCTTCAAAAGTTCCTCGAAGAAACACTGATAATCCTTTAACCCATTCTTTAATATTTATGTAGTTATCATTGTCTTTGTCAAATGCAAAAAACACTGAAAAAGAATATGTAAGTATATTGTAATTTAGGGCTATCATGTAATTCAACAGTATATAAGTATGAATAGATAGAAAAATATTTCTCCCAAATTGAGGGGGAAAAGTTTTGACACAGTCTTCTTGAAAGAATCAAAATTACTGGAAATGTGTTTTTCGCCATATTCTTAAAGAAAAGAACTCATCACTGCTTATGGAGAAGAATGTCTCCATAAGCAGTGATGAGTTTCATTTGTGATGTTTTGTACAGTTACTATGAGCCTAGAAGACACACAGTGGAGTTAATGTGATCATGTTTATTCTTTTTTTTCTCATTTTAATAATTATTCTAGCCACACATCAGCAGAAGTTATAATGTTTATTCTAAAAAAAAGTGTTACAAATTCTGTTCTAAAGAGTTTACACAATATCTAAAGGTAAATTACTAAAATAACACAATATTTTTTAATTGGAAATTTTATTCTCCTATAAAAATGTTAAAACATTATTCTTTTTGAGATGATGAATATGTTAATTATTTTGATTGTGGTGATGGTTTAGTAGGTATATACATGTGTCAAAACTTACCAAATTGTACATCTTAAAAATCTATTACTAGTCGGGCACATCCCTGTAATCCCAGCTACTCTAGAGGTAGAGGCATGAGAATTGCTTGAACCTGGGAGGTGGAAGTTGCAGTGAGCTGAGACTGCACCACTGCACTCCAGCCTGTGCAACAGAAGGAGACTGCCTGAAAAGAAAAAAAGATACTGCTAGCTTACTTAGCTCATTATTGGTTATTTCTTTTTTTTTTTTTTTGAGATGGAGTTTTGCTCTTGTCACTCAGGCTGGAGTGCAATGGCAAAATCTTGGCTCACTGCAACCTCCACCTCCCAGGCTCAAGCAATTCTCCTGCCTGAGCCTCCCAAGTAGCTGGGATTACAGGCCTGTGCCACCATGCCTCACTCATTTTTTATTTTAGGTAGAGACAGGGTTTCACCATGTTGGTCAGGCTGATCTAACTCCTGACCTCAGGTGATCCACTTGCCTTGGCCTCCCAAAGTGCTGGGATTACTGGCATTAGCCAGCGTGCCTGGCCCTACTGGTTATTTCTCAAAGCTGTACAGGTATGAGATATGAAATTCTGAGTGAGTTTGTATTGAAAACCATCCTCACAATCAAACCAGTAATGTTTGCAGCCTACACTTCTGGAATTATGCCTTCTAGTTTGGAGTTAAAAAAATTCAAAGTCTTTCATGAAAATGGAATTTGTGTATGTTTGCTGTTTCAGATTGGCTCTTTTTAGTCTCTTATGACTTCTTACCCCTATTCATCAACATATCATCAGTCATTCCAAATACACTGTACGGGATTCCTCGAAATGTGTTATGATCTAGCCCAATGTTACCAAATCTTCCACCAGCTCTTCCTACCGAGCTGTAGAAGAGTCTCATGAGACACTCTAGCTCACTTTTTTGACTGTAAAATGAAAAGAGAAATAAATACAACTTAATCACTGAGTTATTCAATCCAAATAAATATGGTCAGAAGATTAACATTTATCGTACAGGAGCAGTGGTTCTTATGGTATCATTTTTGGACCATTTGTATGAGAATTAACCCCCTTTCCACTGTCCCATGCTTGCAGTTTCCCAGAACTTGCCCTAGATCTGCTAAACCAGAACTGTTAACAGCAAGCCCAGGAATTAGCTTTTGAACAAGAGCTCAACTTCTATGCCCCAGGAGCTGAGAATCTTTGGGTTTGGCCACTGAAAATTTTGGAACAGGAGAGGGGCATAACAGTACAAGTGGTTTAGGAAAATCCATCTGGTGAAGCAGTATTGAAGTAGGAAAGCTGGAAGCATGGAAGCCAGGCTTGGAGGGATAGTGTTTGGGATAGGGAGGTGGAAATAAAGATAGAAAGCTGGGGAGGGAGCCTGAGATGCTACATAAACTGTCAGTTTTTGTGACTTATCAGATCTGCAGTGTTCAAATGGAAATATTTAAATATGCACATACCTGGTTCTCACTCCAGACTCAGTAAAATGCTATTCTGAAGAAGCGCACAAGCATCTGATGCACTATCAGGACTGAGAACCAATGGGTGAGACTTTGTGGGCTGGGGACCCAAGACTTAATAAGCCACTGGGTTCCACTTCCATTTCTTATCCTAAATAGCTGAGGGACTTACACGAGTCATACAGCTTCTTTATGTCTTGCTGCCCTCATCTATAACACTTAGTGATCTCTCAGATTCCTTCAGTCTCTAAAAGCATAAAATGTAATCCTTTTTTTTTTTTTTTTTTTTAAGAGACAGGGTCTCTCTCTGTCTCCCAGGCTGGAGTGCAGCAGTGAAATCATAGCCCACTTGCAGTCTTGAATTCCTGGGCTCAAGGGATCCTCCTGCCTCAGCCTCTTGAGTAGCATGGTGTACACCACCATGTCTGGCTAATTTTAATTAAAAATTTTTTTTTCATTTCAATAGTTTTTGAGGTACATATGGTTTTTGGTTACATGAATATGTTCTTTAGTGGTGATCTCTGATATTCTGGTGTATTCGTCACCTGGGCAGTGTACAGTGTACCCAGTATGTAGTCTTTTATCCCTCACCCACCTCCCACCCTTCCCACAGAGTCCTTGAAGTCCGTGGTATCATTCTTATGTGTTTGCATCCTCATAGCTTAGCTCCCACTTATGAGAACATGCAATATTTGGTTCTCCATTCCTGGGTTATTCACTTTGAATAACAGCCTCCAGCTCCACCCAAGTTGCTCCATCCAAAGGCCACTAACTTTTAAATTTTTAGTAGAGATGAACTCACACTATGTTGACCAGGCTGGTCTCAAAACTCCTGGGCCTCCAAAAGTGCTGGGATTACAGGTGCGAGCCACTGTGCCCGGCCTGGAAGTAGATTTTTTTTTTTTTTTTGAGGTGGAGTCTCGCTCTGTCACCCAGGCTGGAGAGCAGGGGCATGATCTCAGCTCACTGCAACCTCTGCCTCCCGAATTCAAGTGATTCTCCTATCTCAGCCTCCTGAGTAGCTGGGATTACAGGTGCCTGCCACCATACCTGGCTAATTTTTATATTTTTAGTCGAGATGAGGCTTCACCATGTTGTCCAGGTTGGTCTTGAGCTCCTGACCTAAAGTGATCCACCCACCTCAGCCTCCCAAAGTGCTAGGATTACAGGCATGAGCCACCATGCCTGGTCACCTGGCAGTAGATTCTTGAAACTACCTAATTAATGGTGAATTCTGATGAGGCTGTTTGCATTTTCCTAAAGATGATCATATCAATGTATCCCATTGAACATGCTCTTCCTGCAATGTGACTTTGATACTCCTTTCTTAGAGAGATAGGGGTCTATGTGTTCTCCTTTTAAAACTAGGGGGATTTTTGTAACTGTTTTAATCAATAGAGTACAGTGAAAATGAGGCTCAGTGATTTTCAAGGCTAGGTCATAAAACAAATGCAGCTGCTTTGAGGACAAAAACTTGGAATGTTTTTCTTATTTGGAATATGAAGAAAAAGGAAGCTCAGGTATAGATGCATTATATATAGCATATTAATGCTTGCCTGAAAGCAACCCTGCTCAACTCTGGTAGAAAGTTATTATCTGAATGGAAATGTTAGCACCAATAGTGGTGTGAAAATGGAAGTCTGAGAAAAGGGAGGTTGGAATAATAAGTCAAGAGCTGCTCTGAGTGTCAAATGTTGACAGTCATCCAAAAAAGCAATCAAATATTTTAGATACAATCTTCAGCAAGTAATAAGCTAACCTGTCCTGAATTTTATCAGTGTATCTCAGATTTCAATATATCTAAATACCTTGTACATGTGGTCAAGAAACCATTGTAAAGCCAGGCATGGTGGCCTTACCATGTAATCCTGGCACGAGGTGGGCGGATTGCTTGAGCTCAGGATTTTGAGACCAGTTGGGCAATATAATGAAACCCTATCTCTACAAAAAATACAAAAACTAGCCAAGTGTGGTGGCACATGCCTGCAGGCCCAAGCTACTAGAGAGGCTGAGGTGAAAGAATGGCTTGAGTTAGGGAGGTTGAGGGTGCAGTGTGCTGTGTTTGTGCCACTACTACAGTCCAGCCTGGGTGACAAAGTGAGACTCTGTCTAAAAAAGAAAAAAGAAAGGACACCATGGGTCATTAATGAGGATGGTGTTGAGATACTAGAAACTGATCCATTGTAGTCTGGAATAATTTTAGATTAAGAGATGCACAGATATTACGAAGAGTTCCTATATACTCTTCACCTAGTTTCTCCCTAATGCTAATGTTTTACATAACCATGGTACATTTGTCAAAACTAATGTATTAACATTGGTACACTACATTGGTTAACTATAGATTTTAAATGGATTTCCAGTTTTTACACTAACATCCTTTGTTTTAATACCAGAATTCAATCTGGGATACCATATTAGGTTGTCATGCCTCCTCCAACCTGTCTGTGATAGTTTTCAATCTTTCCTTGCTTTTCATGAATATAACAGTTTTGGATTTATTTTGTAGAATGAAATGGTCATCATTTTAAGTTTACCTGTTTTATAAATCTATTATTTTCTTTTTTTTAAGAGATGGAATCTTGCTATGTTTTCCAGGCTGGAGAGCAGTGGTGTGAGCTCATTGCAGCCTCGAACTCCTGGGCTCAAAATATCCTCCTGCTTTAACCTCCCCAGTAGCTAGGATTATAGGTGCTTGTCATCACATCTGGCTGTGTGCCTGTTTTTCTCATGATTAGACTGTGATTGTGTGTTTTGGGGAATAATACCACAGAGGTAAACTGCTGCTCTAGTCACATGTAAAGAGAAACATGATCTCAACATGATATATCACTACGGATGTTAAACTTTATCATTTGGTTAAGCTAGAGTCTGCCAGCTCTCTCCACCGTAGTTACTGTTTTTCTCTTTCCACAATATTCGTTTGAAGCTAGTCACTCAATAATGGAAATAAGCTCTACTTCCTAGAAAGTGGTATCTATACCACTATTTAGAATTCTCCCATAAGGAAGACTTTTCTCTTTTCCATTTATTTATAATTATTATTTATTTATGTATTAAGTCACATGTATTTATTTTATACTACGAGTTACACACTGCTATCGTCTGTTTGGGCCCCTCCCTGCCCCCCACCAAATTCATGGTGAAATTTTATCCCCCAACGTAATGGTATTAGGAGGGTGGCCTTTGGGAGGCAGTTAGGCCTCGTGTTCTTATAAAGTAAGAGGCCCCAGAAAGCTAGCTAGTCCCTTCCATTTCAGTGAGGACACAGCAAGGAAGTGCCGTCCATGACCCAGAAAGCAAGCAGGCCCTTCCTTACCAGACAGTGACTCTGTCTTAACCTTGGGCTTCCCAGCCTCCAGAACTGTGAGAAGTACACTTCTGTTGCTTATAAACCATCCAGTCTATGGTATTTTGTTCAGAAGCCCAAATAGACTAAGATGCCTATCAATACTATGTTACTTTGCTGCTCAAGTTGTTCCAGGTTTGGCCATTAGGAGTTTTCAGGTTGGCTCCTGTATCTTTTTAATATATCCTCATCTTTTTGCTTTTTAAACATTTCTATGAATCAAGATGTTCAGGCAGCACTGAAGTCTGGCCAGTACTTACAGCTCTTGACAGTTTCACTGATGGATTCCACCAGTTTCCTCAGAGCCTTTTGGTCCATGTCCAGTATGGCTTTAACACACACCAGACTTCCCAGGTAACCTAGCTTCAAGCCTGGGCATCCTGAGCTATCATCACTGCTTCCACAGTTCACTACTCCAATCCCTACATGGAATGTGACCATGGCAACATCCCAGCAACCAAACACAGAAAATTCTCAAGTAACTAGAAAAGTATGCAATAATGGTTGCTACCACTCCAAATATGATAATTTCATTACGGTTTCTGTGATCTAAAAATTTACTATTTTCTTTTTGAGACAGGGTCTTGCTCTGCATCACCTAGGATGCAGTGCAGTGGCGCCATCTCAGCTCAATGCAATGTCCACCTCCTGGGCTCAAGTGATCCTCCCACCTCAGCCTCCCCAGCATATGGGATTAATGGCAAGCGACATCACGCCTGGCTTATCTTTTGCATCTTTTGTAGAGATGGGGTTTTGCTATGTTGCCCAGGCTGGTCTTGAATCCCTGGGCTCAATCAATCTACTCACCCCAGCCCACCTAAGTACTGGGATTACAGTCCTGAGCCATAGTGCCCAGCCTATTTTTATTTTTTAGTCAGGGTCTTGCTGTATCACATTGCCCAGGCTGAAGTGTAGCGGCACAATCATAGCTCACTGCCGCCTCGACTTTCCAGGCTCAAGCCATCCTCCTCTTCAGCCTCCCAAGTAGTTGGGACTGCAGGCATGAGCCACGACACCCAGCTAATGTGATTAAAAAATTTATAACATTTCCAACATTTATCTTTTCTTTGGGGCTAAACACCACTTAAAGCGGTATTTGATATCATTTATACTCCTTCAGCACCAACAGAACAGTTGAAAACATATTTGAACACATTATAAGTAAGATTACAAAAACCCTAATCTTTAAGTGGAAATAATTTCCCAGGCTATCAATAGCTCCTTCAAAGATTACAACCTCCTCTCAACTCTAACCAACCACCCTTTTAGGATATCCAAACAGGCTTCAGTCTGGGAGCTTCTAGAAAAATGAAAAACTGTAAAAACTCACTTTTACCCCTCCAACTTTGATTGGACCGACTGGTAAATCCTGGCAGAGAGAACAAACATGTCATCTATGTCTGCTGGCCTTCACTGTGGTAAGGCAAGAAGATGTATTAAGAATTGTAGAGGCCGGCTGGGACTCAAGATGGCGCTGCGAGAACAACCCAGGATTGGAGCCCGCGTTGAATTCGCAAACGGGACATGGATGAATCTGGAAAACATCATCCTCAGCAAACTGACACAAGAACAGAAAATGAAACACCGCATATTCTCACTCATAGGTGGGTGATGAAAAATGAGAACACATGGACACAGAAAGGGGAGTACTAAACACTGGGGTCTATTGGGGGGAAAAGGGGAGGGCCAGTGGGAGGGGGAGGTGGGGAGGGATAGCCTGGGGAGAAATGCCAAATGTGGGTGAAGGGGAGAAGAAAAGCAAAGCACACTGCCATGTGGGTACCTACGCAACTGTCTTGCATGCTCTGCTCATGTACCCCAAAACCTATAATCCAATAAAAAATTAAAAAAAAAAAAAAAAAAGAATTGTAGAAATTCTATTTAGAAAATATAATTTAGAATTTAGGATACTACATTCTAACTTTTAAATAAAATATGAAAACAAAATTTAAAATATGGTAGGGAGAGGTAGGGGGAGGGGAACATGCAAAATAAAGAAAAAAAATTTTAAATACGGTAAAGGTTGGGCATGGTGGCTTATGCTTGTAATCTCAGCATTTTGGGAAACTGAAGTGGGAGGATTGCTTGAGCCAAGGAGTTCAAGACCAGCCTGGGCAACATCATAGGGAGATCCTATCTCTACAAAAAATTTTAAAAATTAGCCAGGTGTGGTGGTGCATGCCTGTCACAGGTTCTAGCTACTGGGAAGGCTGAAGTGGGATGCTGGCTTGAGCCCAGAAAGTCAAGAATGCAATGACCTATGATTAAACACAGTTGGGGGGAAAATAAAGTTTCCCAAAACTTTTCTTAAGCAAATAACAGAATGAGTATTCACAGATTTTAAGTTAAAAGGTGGCAATTTTTAAAAAAGTGTGAACCCTGTCAATTAAGTTTTTAATACATCTTGACTGAAGGAATGTAAATCTGTATTCTAATTAAAATAAATTCAGGACACTCTAATGGTATTTAAAACATCTATATATACTACAGGCAGCCAAAGGAATCCAAACAATTACAGAGGTAGCATGAGTATAAAGCTCATTTTTCTATCTGGACACCCACCAATTTATGGGTTATTCCAGTACCATTATCCTAGTAACACACCTTGTATTTGTACAAAATTGGTGTAAAGTTTGTCAAGAAAAAGGGTAGTTTGGAAGGGAGGAAGAAATGTTAGTAATTTGCACAGGGTAGCAACTTTGGAATAAACATAACTGATAATATTACTCTGTCAGCTGGGCACGGTGGCTCACACCTGTAATCCTAGCACTTTGGGAGGCAGAGAAGCATGGATCACTTGAGTCCAGGAGTTTGGGACTAGCCTGGCCAACATGGTGGAACCCCCATCTCCACAAAAAATAGAAAAAAATTGGCTTGGTACGGTGGCTCATGCCTGTAATCCCAGCACTTTGAGGCCGAGGTGGGTGTATTACCTGAGGTCAAGAGTTCAAGACCAACGTGACCAACATGGAGAAACCCAAACTCTACTAAATACACAAAAATTGGCCAGGTGTGGTGGCGCATGCCTGTAATCCCAGCTACTCAGGAGGCTGAGGCAGGAGAATTGCTTGAACCCAGGAGGCGGAAGTTGCGGTGAGCCAAGATTGAGCCATTGCACTCCAGCCTGGGTAACAAAAGCGAGACTCTGTCTCAAATAAATAAAATTAGACAGGTGTGGTGGTATGTGACTGAAGTCCTGGCTACTTGGGAGATGGAGATGGGACGATCACTTGAGCCTGGGAGGTCGAGGCTGCAGTGGGCTGGAGTGCAGTGAGCTGAAATCGCTCATTGCATTCCAGCCCAGGAAACAGAGTGAGACCCTATCATCAAAACAAACAAAAACTAAATAAAAATAAAAGAATTACTGTGTCAAATATTCTTTTCTTTCCATACCTTGTGAGGAGACTGCTAAGGCTACCATCAGAGGACTAGAAAAAAAGTGATGCCCTGACAGTTAACAGTCTGAAAAGAGTAGTTTTTTGCCAAATCACTTTCTTCCCCAATCTAATAAAATAAACAATTGCTTCTAGTGGGATATAATCATCATATACTGGACTAGTCTGTAAACTTACACTTCTGTGTCATAACAAAAGTGATGAACATATGACCTGATAAATTTATCTTCTGGCATTTTCATGAACAACAATTCTAGAAAACTTTCTTCTGGATGTAAAATGTCCCTCAAGTTTTCTGAGTATTCAAAAGCATACAGATATCTTTTATGATGAAACAGTATGTAGTTTTGAGTATTAAATTTAAAGAAACCAAGAATTTTTTTTTTTTACAGCTAAAAATTTAGGGATATGTCTTACCTATCTACAACTTAACATCTAGGAGTGTTTCTTATCCTTGTAAGTTTACTTGCAGTCCAAAGGGAGCTAAGAACACTGCTATTTTTAAGTAAAATAGCTATTTATTCAGCCTGTTGTCATGCCAACATGTTCTGTGCATATGCCACTATAATTAGCACACCCTTTGTAATAGGCAAAATTGTACATCAAGTTGTATTTCACGTTACCTGATTATATAAAAATGAAAATGAATTATCAATTCCTTTTAACATTCCTAGTAAACAATTCAGAAGTAGATATGAGGCACAAAATCTTAGTAAAATATAACACAGGAAGAGCAATAATGTAACTCTTATTTAAATTCAACTTGTCATAACTTGTTATTAATATACAAAGACAAAAAACTTTTAAAACATTACATTTACTAAGATTCTGGCAATAAGACACAGCATACCAGGCTTGCCACTCAACTTGTTTATGGTAAGGTAAGTCTCAGCTTCAATATGAAGCTTTTTTTTTTTTTTTAAATCAAAACCCTGCCTTTTACATGCTAAATATCTTGGCAAGCAGGCCGTTAAACATAGTAACGAACTTAAGACAGCAAGAGTGAGGAGTTAACAAAAGCTAAATATTGCAGCCTAAACAAAATTCATACAAAAAATAAACTATCACTGGTTACATAAAATTTTCCTGACTGGTTAAAACTTATTATAAAACATGCATTTTAGAATCTTTAGCTATCAAGTTCAAAAAGTACCAGTGTCTATTTAAAATAATTCCTCTCCCAAGCCAAAGTATAATCAAAATTAATTCAAATGACATAACACATTCTAATGTTAAAAAATATTCATATTATTGAAGTGGAGGTAAATCCCAGAGCTTTTGGGGCTTTCTCATGCTGCAAATGGCTGTTTCTCTGGTTCACTCAAAGCAGCATATGACAGCATCCAAGGATGACATTAAGCTCAGTAAAGGGCAAGACTGCTGGTAGCCAGCTCTGACCTCCCAGTGAAGCATGGCTACTGTGTCCACAATACAAGATGTGTGAAGATCAAAGGCACACTATTCTGCTAGTTAAAGAGATAGCAAACCACCCCCCTCAACCCTAAAAGCTCCTTCCCCAGGTAAATAAAAGTATACGAGGGGAAAAAAATTAAAATACACTTATCTACAGAGTAAGGGTTCTGAAATATTAATGCAATCCCTCCTTCAAAAATTTTAACTAGAGTCATCTGGTCATTTCTGATTACATCTTAAAGGTGTATCCAGATTCAATTTCTGTTGCTTTATCCTTAGACACTTCTAGTCCAGAGTATTAATTTTATTCCCAAATATCTTAACCACTAGTACAACTGCAGTGTATTATCTCCCAGAGTTATCAAGCACTGAAAGAAATAGATGTTCAAGCAGCAGGCAACACTTATGGCCCTTTCACACAGTGGCATCTGAGTGGCTACTGAACAGTCCAGGAATAATTCTAAAAACAAGAAAATTCATGCATTTTAGTAAATATGTTGTAGGTTTCACAGTTGAAATTTCCTCAGACATTGCACTTTCTTTATAAGAGAATCCTGATTTTTCTTAATGTCATGGTGAGTCAGGACTTGAACTAGCAGCCTTCTTTTTCTTCTTCTTACTGTGTTTCTTATGCTTCTTTTTCTTTTTTGTTTTTTCCTGTAAAGATAATTCCAGGTTAGACATTACTATATACAAATATGCAAATTAAAAGCATCTTTACCATGCTTCTTCTAAGCTACTACATAATTATTCCAAACAATCCACACAAACAAGTAAACTACTCAAAACATTTCTTGAAAAGTCTCTACAACCAGTATCATATGAGGACTAAAAGAGTTCTTGTTGATTTTAAAAAAGATAGGGAGAAACTCTTAAGTCATTAGCACATTAACATATTTCTAACAAAATTTCCTGTAGGAAATAATCAATTGAATTATGCTCCCAATCACTATATGTTATGCTATATAACTTCTAAAGGTAAAGCAATTGCAGTTACTGGAAAGGAGTAACCACAGAAAAACATAATTGTTTTTATAAAATAGTTTACAGATAGAACAGAAATATTAAATGTGCTACAGGTATTGCGTACTGCTCAGACTGGCAGCACTACTTGAAGTTATCATTAATTATTAAATTAAATTATATTAAAATCAACTAATTAGCACAAACTATCAATGTATAGTTAAAACGTCTATTTTGCTAAGCAAAACAGATGTCTGATTTTTAGAACAAAATGCCACTAAAGCCTGGTAAAAGTAGTTAAACTATGAGTGGATAAAAGAGAGCTGGAGTTTTGTTGAAGTCTGACTCTCCTATTTCTGTAACAGAAGGCGGGACTTTTAGAAATAGAGATATTTGAAAAGGTAGTATCAAATGAGTGATTGCTGCTAGTCTATTGATACTCAAGAGAAGAAAACAAAAAGCAAGAAAGGAGAAGAGACCTATAAGGACGGCAACAGCAGAGTTTCCTATTCATTTCCTATCAGCACTGTTCACTCTCCCCTCTCTCAAAGGCCTCTACCACTCTGTGGCACTAAGCTAATTTTCATTATTCTTTTTTCTACATGTTTAAAGTACATAGAGAACTTTACAGAGTCCAAAATCTTGTAATTTGGGCTCTTAAAACTAAGTTTTGGGTATAGGCTGCTTTTTCATAAAAGGACAGCTGACCACTTTCTTCTAAAAATAATTTTCTTCTTAGCTTCCATTACACCTCTCTGTTGGTTTTCTTCTATTACAAAGACCTCTTCATGTCCTTTGCTGACTCCTCTTCCTCTGTTTAGCTTTTCTGGAGCTTCCTTCCCTTGTTTTCCACACACTCTCCCAGTCACATGCTTTATACCAATGATGCCCAATCTTTATATGCAGTCCTACACTTTGACCTCAGGACTGAAAGTGCCTCGTTAACAGCTCTACCTGGGATGTCTAGGAGACATATCTGAAATTTCCACAACAAAAGGCTTCATTTTTCTCTCCAAATCCTCAGCCATCTTAGTAACTGGCACCACTAATCTGTCATTTTGCTTAAGTCAAAGAATCTAGGCTATCTTTGATTCTGCTCTTTGCTTTAACTAGACTGCATCCATAGCAGGCAAATCTTACCATTTAAGTAGAAAATATATCTCAAATCTATCCTTGCCAGTCCAACTCCATTACTATCACTGCAGTACAAACATCATTCCTCATTTGTGCCCACTTATCTCCTCTACCAAAGCATTTACAAAATGGAAAATATTTAGGTCACCTCTTTGTTTAAAACTCTCAAAACAGCTTCCTGTAACATTCTGATGAAATGTACTCTGCTGTGTGATGTAAGCAGGCCTCTGCTTACTTCCCACCCTCATTGTATGGAATTCCTCTCTCCTCACCAGTCTTATACCACTTACGTTCTCTCAGTCCTTTAAATATATCAAACTTAATCTCACTATAGGTCCTTAAAAGCTATTCTCTCTCCCTAGGATATTCTTTCCTTTGATCTTCACATGGTTGGCTCTTTCTTGTAAATCAGATTTCAGCTTAATTTCACTTCCTCAGAGAGGATTTCATGAGGTCCTCCCCACAATCTCTCTCTCACGTGTCATACTCTTCTATCTTGTACTCCACTATATTAAAAGATTCAGAAAACTGCCTACATAGAGACGCTTCATATGTACACACTAGCTGAAAGCATGAAACAGTGAAAAGTATGCAAATAGTAAGTTGCTTATATCTTAATTAATTAATCCAAACCACAGACCAAAGTTGTCTTCACCAAAATTACTTAAACAATCAGGAAAAAAAAATTATTTGTCATCGTGGGTTTGCAGCACATAAAACGTTATTTCTGAATCGTACAATACTAGGTAAGCCTTCCTATCAGAGAAGGCACCTCATTTTTAGAGTCAGGGAAATTCAGGAAAGGGGTTATTCAAATCTACAAATGATGATGTTTTCATTTTTCTTTTACCTTTCCCCAAGAAAATGCCTTCAAAGGTCATACCTCACATTTACACTGAGGGCCCCCTAAATTACTTTGCTGATTTTGTATTTGCAATTACTCTTTGAAAATAATCTCTGTTAACCATTTTCTCTTGATTGATCTGCTTCTTGCTTGGATACTACTTCTATTCTCCTTAATTTGCCTCTTTTTTTCTCTTTTCTTCTCAATTTACATTAATTAATAGCAGAGATTGGCTTTCTATCAAAAGAATCATCTTTATTAATGAGTCATTTATAATGTTGTATTCTTGCTTATTTTTTCATTGCAGTTAATACTTAGAGAGGCTTTTTCTGTTATTACCAGATTTGGCTGTTTTGGAAGTAACTACTATCAAAGATAAAGAAAATCACCGTACTATGGTCTCTTAAGAAAGTCAAACAGCATTTGAGCTTATAATTCTTCTTCTTTTTTTTTTTTTGAGACAGAGTCTTGCTCTGTTGCCCAGGCTGGAGCGCAGTGGTGTGATCTCTGCTCACTGCAACCTGTTGCCTGGGTTCAAGCGATTCTCCTGCCTTAGCTTCCTGAGTAGCTGTGATTACAGGCGCCTGCTACCACACCTGGCTAATTTTTGTATATATATATATTTTTTAGTTAATTGATTTTTTTCTCTTTTCCTCTACACCTAACCAGTGTACACATATATATATTTTAGTAGAGATGGGGTTTCACCATCTTGGCCAAGCTGGTCTTGAACTCCTGACCTTGTGATCCACCATGGCTGGCCTGAGCTTATATTTCTAACAGTAAAATACTGAAGTGAAAACAGGACATGCTTGCTACCAGGGTATTCTTTATTTTTCCAGAACCATTTTAACTTTCTCCTACCAATTAAGTGAAGCTGCTTAACACCACACCTTTCCCAACAAATACTTATATGGTCCCAGTAAATCCAATCAAGCTTTACCATGACCCATTTTATATTAAACCAAAACACCTATACTATTGTCTGTAAAAATGTTAAGAGATACTTGCTGTTGCTTTTTCTCGTTCTTCACTGCTTTTCTTCTTTTTGGCTCGTACCTAAAAAGTTTAAATTTTTGTGGAGAACAGAAGACAAACATGTAATTTGCACTCAAGGCATTTTTATTTCAATCTCTATCTTGCATCTTCGAAATGTAAATGTAAAAAACATTTTGACAATCACAGGACATTTAAAATAACTCCTGTTATATCTCAATGAGGTTTCAATAAAGAACACATAAAGAAAGGACAATAAAGCTGTGAAATCTCTAGACACCTTCTCTTATATTCCCTTTCAGCACCTAAAAAAAATGTGGTACAGCGGAAAAAAACATGAGCTCCAGACTAAGTGCGGTGGCTCTCGCCTGTAATCTCAGCACTTTGGGAGGCCAAGGTGGGAGGCTCGCTTCAGCCTAGGAGTTCAAGGCCACCCTGAGGAACATGGTAAGACCCCCCTGTTTGCACCACGGCACTCCAACCTGGGTGACAGAGTGAGGCCTTGTCTCAAAACACAAAATAAAACATCAGCTCTGAAATGAGACAAATTCCAAAGTCTGAATCCTATCTCACTCTAAACGTCTGTAAAATGGAGATAATATTCACCTTCAAGGGGAAGTGCCTGAAATATAGCAGGTATTTCTCTCACTCTATGGTGCTCAACAAATGGTAGCTCTATATTCAGTGTAGTTAGTATAAGCCAAGAGATTAAAATTCTTCTAAGTAAGAATTATCATCCCATTTATATTTTATTTCAATCTTTTTGAGTGTGGTATACTAGATTTAAATTAAACTGAGGCTGGGAGTAGTGGTTCATGCCTGTGATCCCAGAGCTTTGATAGGCCAATATGGTAGAATTACTTGAGGCCAGCAATTCAAGACCAGCCTGGGTAACCTAGTTAACTCCACCTCTACAAAAAAAATTTGTTAAAAATCAGTGTGGTGTGGTGGCATGTGACTGTAGTCCTAGCTACTAGGGAGGCTGAGGTGGAAAATCACTTGAACCCAGGAGTTCCAGGGTATAGTGATCTATGATTGCACTGTTGCACTCCAGCCTGGGCAACAGAGCAAGAACCTGCCTCTAAAAAAAAATAAGAATAAATAAACTGAAAGTTGCCAAAGCTTATGAATATTTCACGTTAAGTCCAAATGTAAGATATTTCATATTAAACTTGCTATCATGTAGCAGGCAAATGTAATACAATACCAATATATTACATAGAAAGCAATATACCTCAGGTGATCCATCTACCTGGGCCTCCTAAAGCGTTGCGATTACAGGTGTGAGCCACCACTCCTGGCCTAGAAACTAAATTTAAAAAAATAAATTTTTTTTTTTTTAAGAGATAGGGTCTCAATATGTTGCCCAGGCTAGTCATGAACTCCTGGCCTGAACTGATTCTCCTGCAACAGCCTTCCAAATTGCTGAGATTATAGGTACCACAAGAGAGCCACTGTATCCAGTCTCTTGTGCAGGATTTTAAGATACAATGTAATGCCACTGTATGGTTTTTAAAGGGCATATGTTATACACTTGCTAGAGCCTGCATTTTGTTTTTTCTTCTGGTGTTATGGCATTTATTTATTTATTTTTTGAGATGGAGTTTTGCTCTTGTTGCCCAGGCTAGAGTGTAATGGCACGATCTTGGCTTACTGCAACCTCTGCCTCCTGGGTTTAAGCGATTCTCCTGCCTCAGCCTCCTGAGTAGCTGGGATTACAGGCACCTGTCACCATGCCTGGCTAATTTTTTGTATATATATATATATTTTTTTTTTTTTCAGTAGAGATGGGGTTTCACTATGTTGGCCAGGCTGGTCTGGAACTCCTGACCTCAGGTGATCCACCCGCCTCAGCCTCCCAAAGTGCTGGGATTACAGGTGTGAGCCAACGCACCCAGCCTGGCATTACCACATTCAAGCATTTACACTGAAGTACAATTTCATAAGATTATACATTATCATTATTGTTTTTATAGAGATAGGGTCTTGCTATTTCGCCTGGGCTAGAGTGCAGTAGCTATTCACAGGTGAGATCATGGTGCACTATAGCCTCAAACTCCAGGGTTCAAGCAATCTTCTTGCCTCACCATTAGCAACATATTTCATTTCAGGGGCAATTATAAAACATCGCTATAAAATGGAGGCAATAGGATTGTGTGCCACTGTTGCAGACCAAGAACAATGAAATCAGAAAGGAAAGAGGCAGAAACAGATAAAAAGGTAAGACTCAGGGAATGGGGAGATGAGGAATACAGTAGACAGAGACAGAGCTAGGCAGGATCGATGTAGGAGGAGGCTAATATGGAAAGGACTAAGCAATCATGAAAAACAGCTCTTGTAGCAATCTGCTGCCACCCCTTGTAAGCAAGGGTCAGATCTCCAACTTTTTTAGAATATACTATTGGGGGTTAAATATGTTGATTGCTAAAGAAAGGTACAGTTTTAAAAATAAATGATTCTAGGGCAACCATGGCTTTTTTTTTAAATTGTAACACCAAGAAGTATGCAAAATTTAGCCACCATTTACTCGGTTCCACGTATGATGCAACGCCTTTTGTAATTTATTAGCTCATTTAGTTCTCACAATAAAGTAATATGATAGGTTTCCTTCTAACATTTCTTCTCCACCTCATCACTTTTCTACTCCCAAAAAGTAGCGCAAAACAAAGCTAAATAATATCAATTAAACTAAGATAGTATATGCGATGTTCTATTTTAACAATATAGGAGGGGAATGTTGGGTTTCAACATGCTGTATGTTACACTTCTTTCACGTAATAAGAATGGTAGTATAATAAAAAGAAAATATTAGAAGACTAAAAATAACTCAGATTGGAAAGGTATGTGGAAATATGGTTAATTATAAAAACTAATAGATAATTGTCTTCTGGAAAAAAGGAAAACTTATTCCAAAATGAAATTCATACTAGAAAGATGAATAAATATGAAATTTCTTTTTACTGATTCCTATTTATGAAATCAATAACTAAGCATTTTAAAATAGAGAAAATGGATTTGATCATATACTCACCTCCTCAATATACTCTGATTCTGACAAGGACTCAGATGATAAAGGTTTATCTTCAGAATACATCTTTCTCTTTTTGCCGAGTCCTTTAATGTCCTATGAAAAATAAATACATTTATCTTGACTCAAAAAGATACACTTTGTCACAGAGATTTTAAGTTTCTATTTAATTCTGTTAATTGTTACAATTACTCATTTTTATTTTAGAATGTCTAAAAATTGTGACATTTACCAGGATTTAAGTCTTTAATTCCACTAAAGCAATATTAAATAACTTAAAAAGAAATAACGTCAGCTCAGAGGCTGAGGCAGGAGAATTGCCTGAACCCAGGAGGTGGAGGTTGCGGTGAGCCAAGATCGCGCCATTTGCACTCCAGCCTGGGTAACAAGAGCGAAACTCCATCTCAAAAAAAAGAAAAAAAGAAATAACGTCTCAATTTAGATGTAATATCCTCCTTTATTTTCTTAAATTATTCAGAACAGACTTTTAAACAGTCATATGAAACCATGCAGATGGTATAAGATTTGGTTCCTTTGTATTCTAACTCTTTTATTTCCATCTAGGAATGGATTAGACAGGCCCAGTACTGCAGAAAAGAAAATAAATGGGTAATTATTTGCAATGATCTAAAAGGATCTCTACATAGTAATTACTAAAGTGTTAAATGTAAATTTGTGTTTAAAAAAATTTTAACCTATAAGTATTTTTAATGTTGGAAAAATGAGTAACTCTGGAGAAAGAAAGGGGACCGAGACTGGGAGTAGCACGTAGCGACTTAAATATATATTTGAAGAAATAAAAAATTATAAAAAACACCCAAAGGAAGTATAACAAAATGTTAAGATTTATTAGAGCTGCATAGTGGATATGCTCATTATCATCTTATTATTTTTCATATAACTCTTCTGTATGTCTCAAGTAGTTCATAACAAAAACAAAACTACACAATGGAAAAAATGTTCACCATCTAATCTTACATAAAAATTCAGGACAGCCGGGTGCAGTGGCTCATGTCTGTAATCCCAGCACTTTGGGAGGCCAAGGTGGGCGGATCACCTGAGATCAGGGGTTTAAGACCAGCCTGGCCAACATGGCAAAACCCCATGTCTATTAAAAATACAAAAAATATTTTGTAGTGTAGTGGTGCATGCCTGTAATCCCAGCTACTCAGCAGGCTGAGGCAGGACAATTGCTTGAACCTGGGAGGCAGAGGTTGCAGTGAGCTGAGATCGTGCCACTGCACTCCAGCCTGGGTGACAGATGTTGTTTTGAGACTGTCTCAAAAAAAAAAAAAAAAACCAAAAAAACTCAGGATATAAAACTTTTTATACAGCATGAGTCTAATTTTGAAGACAGACAAAAATGCAGAAAGTAAACTAACAGTGATGATGTCTCTATGGGCTAGATTATAGGTGACTTCCTTTTGTTTCTGCAAACAGCATTGTTATTCTGGCTAAAATGTTAAATGTTAATTGTAAGAAAATGGATCCAAATCTCACTACCAGAGATTAAACATCATTAAGATTTTTGGAAACATCTGTCTACATGTATGTTTACAATACTACATAAATGCTTGCCGTTTGGAACCTGTTCTTCTCACCCAATAACTTTCCATGCCAACTACAACATCATTTATGGCTGCATTTAACATTCACTAAAGGTATATGCCAGAATTTACTTAACCCATCTCCTTCTGGAGGGCAGGCAATGTGGGTTCTTTGCTATTAAAAACAAAGTTGAAATAGAATGAAATGTATGTGAGTGCACACTCTTCAATAATGACTGAATCAAAGACCAACGTAGCCTTCACACAAATGATCATCTTGTTCTCCCACCATCTCCTAAATTGTCTGTCACCCATTTATGAATCACACTTTATCAAGAACCTCCCTCTCAGACTCTTTATCAGTCATATCAGAGAATAGAGTTTGTGTTTTCTTTTAGAATTGCCTAAACGTATATTTGCCAATTTGTCTATGTGTGGTATTTTTTTCCTTATTTAAGATCATTAATCTTTTGTGTTACATATTCTTAAGAGTTTTTCTTAGTCTTATCATTGTATTTAAACTTTGTTCAGTTTAATTTTTATTATCACTTTTTGCCATTCAGAATTTGAAATATGTGGTCAAGTTTCCGAGTTTTGAGGCATAAGCCTCCTCCACCCCAGTATTGTAATAGTCACCCTTTCTCTAGTTGTATTTTCATACATTTAAAATCTCTGACCTTTTTGGGATTTATTTGGCCTTACAGAGTGTCTAGCTTTATGATTTCCAAATGTTAATAATTTTGTTCCAAGAAATGCCTTGTCATATTAAATTCCACAAATTCTCAAATTTTTACCTGGACTCTACGCTGTTTCATTGTTTTATCTATTCCTGTACTAGTACTATACTGTGTTAATTAAAACATTCTTATAATGTTTGAATATCCAGTATGGCAAGTCATACCCAGGAACATGTTATGACTCTCCATTTATTCAGTCTTCATATATGTCTCTGAACAGACTTGTATAGTTTTCTTCAAATAAGTACTGCTTACTTCTTTAAAATTTTCCTACAGATTTTTGGTTACTACTTTAAATGGGATATTTTCTTCTACTGTATTTTCTAATTGAGTATTATAAGCACTTTCAGAACAATTTTAAATAATAAAGGGACTAAAAACAATGATTATGTGGCTTAAAATTAAAGCCTTTATATGACTATAACAGACACAAAAACAAAGTAAAGAGAAGCCGAGGATCAGAGACAATGTTGTTTTGTTCCAACATAAAAATGGACAAAGACAATGAAAGGCAATGCAAAGAAAATAAAATATGAATGGCTAATAAGCAAGTTAAGAAGCTCAACCATTTGTATACATTAAACTGACAATAATGACATCTCCCTGGATTGATAAGTATGTGAAATAAGGGTAGTTTTATACGCTACCAGCAAGAAAGCAAAATAACAAGCACTTGGGCAAGCAAAATGTTGACAAGTTACATGTGTATAGATATCCTAGAACTTAGAAATTATAGACCAAAGTAGCCTTTAGAAAATTAACAGTAACTGGCCAGGCGTGGTGGCTCATGCCTGTAATCCCAGCACGTTGGGAGGCCGAGGTGGGCGGATCACGAAGTCAGGAGTGTGAGACCAGCCTGGCCAACAAAGTGAAACCCCACCTCTACTAGAAATACAAAAATTAGCCGGGCAAGGTGGCGTGGACCTATAATCCCAGCTACTCGAGAGGCTGAGGCAGAAGAATTGCTTGAACCCAGAAGGCGGTGGTTGCAGTGAGCCAAGATCGCGCCTCTGCACTCTAGCCCCGTGACAGTGTGAGACTGTCTCAAAAAACTAAAAAGAAAAAAAAAGAGAAAAGAAAATTAACAGTAACTGTGGAAGAGGAGAAATGGGTAAGAAATATTCACAGTAGCACTGTTTGCATTACTGAAAAATGAAAACAATCTAGATGTCCATAAATAGGAGAATGAAGAAATCATTTGTAGTGAATTAATTAATAGAATACCATTAGCAAAAGAAATGAACTTGAAAGTATCGATAAGGATAGATGTCAACAGTAATGCTTAATGAAAAGAAACAAGTTTCAGAAGGAAACACAATGATACCATTTTGAAAATACACAATATTCTTCCCACTCCACTAGGTATACCTAGTTTAAAAAAAAAAGAAAACACAATATTCTTTTATTTATGAACACATACTAATATAATAAAAGTGTATAAATGTGGATGGGAAAGACATACAGTAGTTTTAGGATGAGCTGCCTCAGAGGAAGAAATGAGAGTCTGGGGACTTTTTTTTTTTAAGAGATAGGGTTTTACCCTGTCATTCAAGCTGAAGTGCATGATCATCAACTCACTGTAATCTCCAATTTCTGGGCTTAAGTGATCCTCTCACTTCAGTTTCTGGAGAAATTAGGACTACCACGCCTGGCTAATTTGTTTTCTTTTTGTAGAGATGGGGTCTCACTATGTTGCCCAGGCTGGTCTCGAACTCCTGGCCTTAAGCAATTCTCCTGCCTCAGCCTCCCAAAGTGTTTGGATTACAAGCATGAGCCATTGTACCCAGGTGCCCAGTCTTTTTTTTTTTTTCCCTTAACATAAAACAAGACCTGAAATCAATGTAAATCATTTATTAATTCTAACTGGTACATATATTAATTTTTGTTGATTATATATGTGTATATTACTCTGTATCTAATAGTTTAAGTACTTAAAAATCACAATGCAGTTTTAATATTTCATGTTTCTACATTACCAGATTTAATTTCACATACACATATATATGTGTAAAATTATATATATGTGTGTATAATGGTTTTGAAAATCAGGAATTAATGCTGAATTACATCACATCCTTCTGGCAACTACTGAAATTATCATATGGTTTCTTTCCTTGATCAGTTAATATGACAAATTATATTAATAAGTTATCCCTGAAATCTTAAAATTGGTCATTAGTTTCCTTTTTAAGTGTCTTTTTAATTTAAATTTTATTTTTTTTAAATTTAGAAACAGAGTCTCTCTCTCTCTCTCCCAGGATAAAGTGTAGTGGCATGACTTTGAACTCCTGGGCTCAGTCTCACAAGTAGCGAGGACTACAGGCATGTGCCATCATGCCTTCTTAGTTTTTGAAATCAATTAATAATTTTTTTAAGTTAATTTTTTATTTGGGTTATATAAACCACTCCTAGGCATATACTCGAGAGAAATGAAAACAGACATCCATACAAAAAGTTGTTTATAAATGCCCATTGCATCATTATAATAGCCAAAAGGTAGAAGCAAAACCAAATGTCCATCAACAAATAAATGGAGAAATCATCAGACAGACAGACACACACACACACACACACACACACACACACACACACACACAGTTATTTAGCCATACAAAAAACCAAAGTACTAATACATGCTACAACTTGGATGAAATCTGAAAATATTATGCTAGCTGAAAGACACAAAAGGTTGCATATTGTATGACTGCTTTTATATGATACATTCAGAATAGGCAAATCAACAGAGTCAGAAAGCCAAATAGAGGTTGCCAGAGAATGAGAGAGTAGCAGTGATTATTTAATAGATATGGAGTGTTTTCATGGGATGATGAAAAAGTTTTGCAACTAGAAACGGTGGCTGCACAACACTGTAAATACACTAAACACTACTGAATTTTAGCTTTAAAATGTCAATGGTATATTATGTGAACTGCATTTCAGTTTCATTTTCATTGATTGATTGACTGATTGAGACAGAGTCTTGCCGAGGCTGGAGTGCAGTGCTGCGATCTGGGCTCACTGCAACCTCTACCTACCACACTGAAGCAATTCTCCTGCGTCAGCTTCCCGGGGAAGCTGGGATTACAGGCACACACCACCACACCCGGCTGGTGTTTTTTGTATTTTTAGTAGAGACGGGGTTTCGCCATGTTGGTCAGGGTTTCACCAGGTTGGTCAAACTCCTGACCTCATGATCTGCCTGCCCTAGCCTCCCAAAGTGCTGCAATTACAGGCATGAGCCACTGCACCTGGCTTTTATCATTTAAAAAATATATATAAATTCTGAGTAAAATATAGTGACATTGGTCTGTAGTTTTCTTTTATTACCGCCCTCTTTATGTTTTTATTTTTAATAACCAGAATAACAATTTTAAATGTAAACTAGAAATTAAGGTAGGCATAAATTCTGCTTTAACTATATAGATAAGTTATAAATGAAGGTAAAACATCTGTTTATAACAGTAAGAAGATTTTTTCAATTTTATTTATGGCATATTCAATTTGAAAGAGAAATTCATGTTCTTAATTGGAAAGGCCTTCTTCAAAATGATTTAAGAAATCAAAGGAAATAGGCCGGGAGTGGAGAGGCCGAGGTGGCAGATCACTTGAGGTCAGGATCTTGAGACCAGTCTGGCTAACATGGCGAAACCCTGTCTCTGCTAAAAATACAAGAAGTAGCTGGGCATGGTGGTGCACAACTGCAGTCCTAGCTACAGGGAGGCTGAGGCACGAGAATTGCTTAAACCCACGAGTGAGCTGAGATGGCACCACTGTACTCCAGCCTGGGTGACAGAGTGAGACTCCATCAACATAGAAAAAGAAAAAAAAAAGAAATCAAAGGAAATGGTTAATCTGCTAATCTGCATTATTTTGTATTTTTAATCTAAGATACTTCAATCTATACAAATTCAAACTAAGGCTGGAATACTCTTTTGATCCTTTATCTTCAGTAATGAATCCAAATTAAAAATAGCTTTAAATTGAAACAAATATTACAAAATTGTAAGAACTACATCTCTTTTTATTTTTGAGACTGAGTTTCACTCTTGTTATCCAGCCTGGAGAGCAATGGTGCGACCTTGGCTCACCATAACCTCCGCCTCCAGGGTTCAAGCAATTCTCCTGCCTCAGTCTCCCAAGTAGCTGGGACTACAGGCGCGCACCACCATGCCCAGCTAATTTTTGTATTTTTAGTAGAGATGGGGGTTTCACCATGTTGACCAGGATGGTCTCAATCTCTTGACCTTGTGATCCACCTGCCTTGGCCTCCCAAAGTGCCGGGATTATAGGCGTGAGCCACTGCACCTGGCCAGAACTACATCTCTTAAATTAAAAAAGGTACACATTATTGTATTTAAGTCAACTAAGCATTATATTACACACTATCTTGAGGCAATGTAGAAGTATAGTTACCTTTTCTTTCTCAGTTGCATCTTTTGACTTCTTTTTCTTTTTTAAACTATCCTAAATAAAAAAATATATGTATCAATTTTAAATGCTAAGGGCACAGCATTATAGAACAAGGACAAAAATACCCAAAACGTGATTTGCTCTATGACTGAAAAAAGGCTATTCAATCCCAGTACATTATTCCAAAAATTTAAGAGAAATGAATGTTATGTATACATTTGCTTATAAGCAAAAAGCCTTCTTTATTTATTTGGCTGTATACCAAATTTACTCTTAAAATTGTAAGTATTGCCTATAAAACCCACATGGCTTATTTTAAAATAGGACTTTGTGCCATTGCCTTGTTTGCTTATGGTGGTCACATGCACTGGCATTGTAATTTGAGGAGGCAACAATTTCTGCTTTTGAATCCTTTGAGTTCTAGCTATTAATTCTTCCTGTGCCCAGTTTCCTTATCCACTTTATCTGTAAAGTGGATTACCAAATTACTTCCCAGAGTTGTTGAGATTAAATGAGTTAATAAATTAAGTTCTTAGAATTGTGCCTAACACACAGTAGACACTCAATACATTTAAGCTATCATTATCAAGAGATTGGCTCTTCTGCTTTAAAAGACAAAGAGAGCCGGGCTTGGTGGCTCAAGCCTGTAATCCCAGCACTTTGGGAGGCTGAGGCGGGTGGATCACGAGGTCAAGAGATCAAGACCATCTTGGTCAACATGGTGAAACCCCGTCTCTACTAAAAATACAAAAAATTAGCTGGGCATGGTGGCGCGTGCCTGTAATCCCAGCTACTCAGGAGGCTGAGGCAGGAGAATTGCTTGAACCCAGAAGGCGGAGGTTGCGGTGAGCCGAGATCGCGCCATTGCACTCCAGCCTGGGTAACAAGAGCAAAACTCCGTTTCAAAAAAAAAAATAAAAGACAAAGAGAAAACCAACATTTTACTCATCACTTTCTAGATGCCAGTATTTTGCCAGAAGAGCTCTCACTGGGGCAAGTAGCTATCTGTTATAAATGCAGACAGCTGCTTTGGTTTTCTGAGACCTAGTATAGTGTTTGTCAAATTGTGGTCCATTTACACCCCAGTATCAGAATCACATAGGGCATCTGTTAAAGATGTTGATTTCTAAGCCTAATCAGATTTGCTAAATCAGACTCTGGAGATAGGACTCAGGAATCAACAATTTTATCGAGACCTTCATAACTTTTTCCTGACAACTAATGTTTGACAGCCAACTGTGTGTCTGACAATCCTAGTTCGTACAGAACAAATTTAGGTACAGTATAGTAGAAAGGACACTGGACCAGATTTTAGAAGGTAAAGATTCAACTTTTAATTCTAATACCAGCTGTATCATTTTAAGCAAATGTTCTTTCTTTGAACTCAAACTTCTTTAAGAAAATGAGGACAATAATGTCAGTTGCCATGGAAACGCGGAGACATGGAAATACATATATGAAAATGCCTGAAGAATTATTAAATGTCACATGCAAGATGTTATCAAGTACATCAATTAAGTGGCAAAAAACATCAAGGTACAAATATCAGACTATCTTATTTTTAAATTGAGGGCAACTTAAGGTAGGAAGAAAAACTTAATTAAATGTCTTTGTATCCAATATATTAATAATTTAAATAATTTACCTTACTGTCTGATTCAGTTTCTGACAAGGAGCTTTCAGAAGATTTATGTGAACGATTCTTCTTTTTCTTTCTCCGTTTTCCTTGTTTTTTATCCTACGTAAAATATTTTTAGAAACATTTGCTTTCTGTCTCAATATAATTTATACATTTATTAATATAACTTACTAATGAATAAAATTTAATGAAAGTATCAGCTTATTATTTTTTCTTAATACTTAATACATCACTTTTCTGTTATAAAGATCAAGTGATTTGAATCACATGTAATGCCTAACATCTAGTCAAATAACATCTGATTTTTCAATTTTTTTTCTACTGATTTTTTTTTTTGAGACAGAGTTTCGCTCTTGTTACCCAGGCTGGAGTGCAATGGCGCAATCTCGGCTCACCGCAACCTCCGCCTCCTGGGTTCAAGCAATTCTCCTGCCTCAGCCTCCTGAGTAGCTGGGATTACAGGCATGCGCCACCATGCCCAGCTAATTTTTGTATTTTTAGTAGAGACAGGGTTTCACCATGTTGACCAGGATGGTCTCGATCTCTTGGCCTCGTGATCCACCCGCCTCGGCCTCCCAAAGTACTGGGATTACAGGCGTGAGCCACCGCGCCTGGCCTCTGCTGATATTTTTAAGTCAACAAGACAAATTTTAAAATCTAAGAAATATATACCAATATTTAAGTTCTAGTTATCACTCATTCATGTTAGTGTTCTAAGTTATGGATAATTAATCAAAACCTAGAAGTCAATATTTCACAATAGGTTTCCACTTGACATTAAAGAAATTAAGAGATGTTATTTCATGAACCATTATAAGCAAACCTTACCTCATCTTCAGAATCAGAAGAACTGCTGGAAGAATCAGAGCTTGATGAAGAAGAAGATGAATACTTGACCAAGCACAAAACAATGAAAGCTTGTGAGATGCGGGAATTTTTTTCTTTTACAATGTCTCTCAAATACTTAGTGAAATCAATCTAGTGTCTGAGAAACAGATGTCATATTCATAAGTCATAAATATGAAAATGCAAAATGTCACACTTGTTCCCCATACAACGGCTCAACAGAGTAACATGTGGCCACGGTCACCAATCTTCCTTTTTAAATAGCAACAGAAAATTTACTAGGTTATAAGGTGGTTGGCACCTATTTTTAATATCAGTGATAGAACAAAACCATTCTTCACAAAGAACATCTAAGTTCCTTGACTCAGAGTTTAAGTAACCTTGAGCATACAGGTTAAACAAATTATTCTTACTTTTTTTTTGTTGGCTCTTAATTGTAACATTTAGAAAAATGAAAAACTTTTGCTCACCCTACCAGATTTCTTCTTTTCTTTTTTCTTTCTCTAAATGGAAAAAATAAAAGTACAAGTCTAAATAAGCTGATGTGGGTTTCCAAATGCATCTATTCATAGCAGTATACAGCATTATTATGAAAATTCAACTATGAGATTAAGAATAGTAATAGACTAAAAGTGGTATTTACCTGTCTTTTTTTGGATGAGCTCTCACTTCCACTTAACAATTTCTCCCTGTGTTTTTCTAATTCTTTCTTCCAGTTCTGAAAAGGGTTATAAACACCATCAGGGGTTATCTATCCTTTCTAATACGCCTAATATACGGAGACGGCCACTGCTTCCTTCTCTTCATCTTCTAATACCTCTCACCCATCTCAGCTTCTAATTAAAGTAAAAAGAAACACAGGCGCACCAATCTTTGACCCTTATCACCAAAGGACCCTCTACTAGCTCTTTTCAAAGAGAAACAGGTATTATCAAGAGAGGAGCAGGGATGGGGGTTCTGTATTATTGAGGAGCAGGTATTACTGAAGCTGAGGTCTCTCCTAGTCTGTAAAAGTTGAATTAATTGATACTGTGATTGATACATTATATACATGTTTGTAATCAAAACAAGCGAACAAGCTGGGTACAGTGGCTCAAACCATAATCCTAGGACTTTGGGAGGCTAAGGTGGAAGGATTTCTTGGGCTCAGGAGTTGGAGACCGGCTTGGGCAACACAGAGACTTTGTCTCTATTAAAAAAAAAAAAAAAAAAAAATTAGCTGTGTATAGTGGCCTGTACCTGTGGTCCCAGCTACTCAGGAGGCTGAAGTGGGAGGACTGCTCAACCCTAACTTGGAATACAAGTAATCTAAGTCTTAAACGACTTATATTATAAGATGGTTATTCTCTATTGTTTAAAACGTGCACATAAATACAAACTTGTATTCCCTATGACGTAACACTTCTAAAATACAGTACCTCTTTAACTCAGGGAGCTATACCCAAATACTTAGGGCATTCTTTTTTTTTTTTAATAGAGATAAGGGATGGTGGGAGGGGGGTCTTATTTTGCTGCCCAGGCTGGTATTGAACTCCTGGCCTCCTGTCTTGGCTTCCCAAAGCATTGGAAATACGGGTGTGAGCCACAACTGGCCAAATTACTCTAATTTTTTTTAACAGATACTTTTTACAAACCTCATTCATTTTTTCTTCAAATTCAGCCAAAGCCTTGGAGCCTTTCTTTTTCTTTTCTAGTTGCTCTTTTACTTCTTCCCTTAAAAAATAGAATGTACGAATAAAATTTCAAGCAACTCAAATTAGATAAATGCTTACAAATAAGACAACAAAATTTCATAAACTCTTCTAAATATCCTAATAGACCACTATTCAATGTTGGTACATTTCAAATTTCTTTGTTCACATCTAATTAAAGCCTATCAGATAACATCAATCAATCCTTTTTTGAATAGGGATTATAAGAGCTAATACACCAAACATCTAAGCACTTACAGCAGGCAGTATTTAAAACATATTTTCATTTAATTGTCACGATAACCCTGTGAGAAAAGATATGGATCCCCATTTTACAGATAAAGAAACCGAAGCTTGGATAAGGTAAGAAATCCACCTACAGTCATAAACCTGGTAGTTTTTGGTGTTAGCATGCCCTAAAATCTCTATGACTGAACTACTATATTCTATATATGACCCATTTAATAAGGTATCTGACATGCTGCGCAGAGAAGAGTTAATACAGCTTGCTGGACTGCTTATTCTTGGAAAGACGAACTTAAAAGACTGGTCCTAGGTGGGCATCTGGGAACTTGAATTTGGAGGACTCCTACTATTCTCTGATAAGAGCAGATCATTGTGCCTAAACTGTTTGTACAAACAATATCATTGAGGCTAAAAACCTGTTTTCTTTCTGGGAATCTGGATTTTTTTTGTTTTTGTTTTTTTAAGAGACAAGGCCTGATCTCTTGATTGACAAGAGCTTTGATTTGCTCTGTCACCTAAGCTAGAATGCAGTGGTGCAATCATAGTTCACTGTAATCTTCTGGCCTCAAGCAATCCTCTTGCCTCAGTCTCCCAAGTAGCTAAGACTACAGGCATGTACTACTACATCCAGCTAATTAAAAAAAAAAAAAAAAAAAAAAAAAAAAAATATATATATATATATATATATATATATATATTTCTTGTAGAGACAGCATCTTGCTATGTTGCCTAGGCTCATCTCGAACTCCTGGCCTCCCAAAGTACTGAAACTATGGGCCTGAGCGACCACACCCAGCCCTGGAATCTGGAATTTTGGTTCATGACAGGTAGAGGCTGACCAGCCTCAATAAAAACCCTAGGCACTGAGTCTCTAATGAGCTTCCATTGGTTGGCAATATCTTACATGTATTACCACAACTCCTTACTAAGGGAGTTAAGTGCCTCTCATGTGATCCCACTAGGAGAGGACCTTTCAAAATCTTCTCCGAGTCTTATCCAAATTTTGCTCCAAGTGCCTTTTCCTTTTGCTGAATGTGCTTGGTAGTCTTTCATGGTAATAAATCTCACCATGAGTATGACTATCTGCTGAAACTCCTGTGAGTCTCTACGAGTTACCCAACCTGAGGGATGTCCTGAAGATCTCTGATATATATGTAATATATTTACTTGGACATTTCCCCTTTAAAGTTCATTCCCTCTTCCCATTAAAACATACTTTGTTTTGGGATAATGCATTTTCCAGCAATGGTTAACAATGGCATTCATACACACTGGTAAACAAACCTTACTTCCTATTTAACTCAAAGGAAGGATTCCCTATTATATATAAGCATACATTTTGCCCAGTTTTCAGGGGCACTTGGGATTCTGAAGTTAACAGTTCTGAAGCATGTGTCATAGGTTGTCTCAGGAGTATGGTATTAATAACAAGGAAGACATACTAGAGAATAATACAGCTCACACTCTAATGCTTTATTTACAAAACAGTTAAGTTTTTCTAACTCACTGAAAAACTGGCAGATAAAACTAGAAACAAAGCTGAACATTATTCTTCCTGATACCTGCTTACACTTCAGTAAAGGACAAGACTACACTCACTAAACAGCTTTGACCACTGCAATGTTAAGGCCTTTTATGGGATAGAGAAGAGACTGGTATGAAAAATTTGCCTGGCAGTGCTTTAGCTAAATTGGGTAGTGGGTTCTCAAATGTTTGCTATATAATTGCACATGTGTTTTGTACATTCAAAAGAAAGCACATATCAAATGTTACTAAAAAAAGAAATCACTTTTCTGGTAATTGCTTGGCAATCAATAAAACGAATTAAAGTCTTAAAAACAGGCTTTAAAAAGTTGATAAAAAGCTTATAAATAGGTATAGTGTTTCACAAATACCAGGTAGGCCTTGGTCGGTTCAGATAATCCTGTATTGTTGGCCCTGAAGACTGGATTGGACCCCTTGATCTTGCCATTGCTATTGGGTTCATATAGGCCTTTGGGAAAGAACAAAAATTAATTCCATTAAAACAATCATTAAACACGCAAAAACCCACTTACTCATCAAGTAATCTTTACTATAAATAAATAATATATCCAGCTAAGTACATGCACTCTGACTAACCAACTTTTCATTCTAAAAAAAATTAATCCTCTTTTAAGTCTTGAAAGTTTAGGAGTTAATACCACTGTTTCAGAGAAAACGTGTGTGTGTGTTTTACAAAATATTTGAGGAAATAATAGATACCTCTGACCTACTGATGGCTTTACAGCTCTTTCTCCTAAAGCTCAGTAACTCTGTGAGGGTGGTATCAATATGTTCACTGGAAAATTAGGAAACTCAATTCCAGGCTGAGTGCAGTGGCTCAGGCCTGTAATCCCAGCACTTTGGGACGCCATGGTGGGTGGATCACCTGAGATCAGGAGTTCAAGATCAGCCTGGCCAACATGGTGAAACCCCATCTCTACTAAAAATACAAAAATTAGTTGGGCATGTGGCATATGCCTGTAATCCTAGCTACTTGGGAGGCTGAGGCAGGAGAATCGCTTGAACCCAGGAAGTGGAGGTTGCAGTGAGCCGAGATCGCGCCACTGTACTCCAGCCTGGACGACAGAGCAAGACTCCCTCTCATAAATAAATAAATAAATAAATAAATAAATTTTAAAAAGAAACTCAATTCCAAAGAAGTTAAATAAGATCTAACTCTAAATTCGTTGTTTATTCAATGACATCTTGCTTCCCAGGAAATACTATGTCATACTGATGACAATTTTATTCACAAATAGGTAACATCAAAAATTATACACAGGCAACAAAAAAATAAATAGAACACCAAAATGTAAAATGTTTGTCTATCAAAAGACACCGTTAAGAGTGAAAAGACAATTCACAGAATGAGAGAAGCAATATTTGTAAATCATAAATCTAATAAGAGATTAATATCCAGAATGTAAAACGAGCTCCTACAACTTAACAACAACAAAACCCCCAAGTAATTCAAAAATGGGCAAAAGACTTGAACAGATATTTCTCTTAGGAAGGTATACAGTAAATGGCCAATACAAAATATGTTCAATATCACTAGTCATTAGGGAAATGCAAATCGAAACCACAAAGAGGTGCCATTCTATACCCATTAGGATGGCTATTATCAAACAGAAAATTGCAAAGGTTAGCAAGGATGTGGAGAAACTGAAACCCTTTCAATTGCTGGTGGGAATGTAAAATGGTGTGGCCACTGTGAAAAACAGTTTAGTGGTTCCTCAAAGAGTTAAACATAGCACTACCACATGATCTAATATTAACACTTCTAGGTATATACCCAAAATAATTCAAAGAAGGGACTAAACAGATACTTGTAAACAAATGTTCACAACTGCAGGGTTCACAAAAGCTGAAACATGGAAATAATGCAAATGTCCATCTATGGATAAATGGATAAACAAAACTGTGGTATATACATACAATGGAGTATTATTTGGTCTTAAAAAAGAATGCAGTTCTGATACATACTATATACAACTTGGATGAGCCTTGAAAATAGGCTAAGTGAAATAAAATAAGAAAAACACAAAGAAACAAATATATTATTCCATTTATATGAGATACTTAGAAAAGAAAATAGAATGGAGATTACCAGGGTCTGGAGAGAAGAGGAGTTTAGGAGTTTATTGTTTAATGGATACAGAGGTTCTTGTTTGGGAAGATAAAAATGGATAGTGGTTATGGTTATACAACACTATAAATGTACTTAAGGTCACTAAACTATATACTTAGAAACTTAAAATGGTAAATTTTGTTATACATATTTTAGCTCAATTAAAACATCTGCAAAAGTTTAAATCATACTGTCTACTACACTTACTACAGCAGAAAAATATTTTAGAGATTTTTTTTCAAAAACATCTTAAGGCAAAACAAAGCAAAAGGTTTCTTTGTTAATGGCAGTGTCTAGCAAAGAGATTATGTCTTATTAAAATTCACATTGCTACTGATATAAAGTCTGGTCTTTAATTCAGTCTCTTCTTATATTTAGTTTTACTATTATTATCTTTTCAAAGACAGGGTCAACCAGGCACAGTGGCTCACACCTATAATCCTAACACTTTGGTAGGCTGATGGGGGTGGATCACCTGAGGTCAGGAATTCAAGACCAGCCTGGCCAACATGGTGAAACCCTGTCTCTATTAAAAACAAAAAAATTAGCCGATTGTGGTGCTGGGCACCTATAATCTCAGCTACTTGGAAGGCTCAGGCAGGAGAATTGCTTGAACCTAGTGCGTAGAGGTTGCAGTGAGCCAAGACTGAGCCACTTCACTCCTGCCTGGGCGAAAGAACAACTATGTCTCAAAAAAAAAAACAAAGACAGGGTCTAGTTCTTTTGCCCAGGCTGGAGTGCACTGGTGTGATCACAGCTCACGGCAGCTTCAAACAATCTCCCTATCTCGGCCTCCAGAGTAGCTAGGACTACAGGTGTGAGCCACCGTGTCCAGTCTCATTTCAACCAGCATTTATGAAAACTCTTCTACTTTTTTTTTTTTTTTTGAGATGGAGTTTTGCTCTTGTTGCCCAGGCTGGAGTGCAGGCGTGATCGTGGCTCAGTGCAACCTCTGGCTTCTGGGTTCAAGGGATTCTCCTGCCTTAGCCTCCTGAGTACCTGGAATTACAGGCATGCGCCACCACACCTGGCTAATATTATATTTTTAGTAGAGACAGAATTTCTCCGTGTTGGTCAGGCTGGTCTTGAACTCCCGACCTCAGGTGACCTGCCCGCCTCAGTCTCCCAAAGTGCTGGGATTACAGGCATGAGCCATTGTACCTGGCCAACTTTTCTACTTTTTAAAGAAAAATAATTTTGATTGAAAATGACTACCCTCAAGGTTTGTTTTAAGACCTTATGCCTTGTAATAATCCAAAATAAGTGAAAGGAACAATGTATTTGTTGTATTTTATTTAACATAATCTATGAAAATGACCATAATTTCTCACCTTTATAACAGATAAAAGTTGTATACTTCCAAATTTTTCTGACAGAGTAAACAATATAAAACCAGCACAAACAACACATATTGAGAAGTATTCTATTCAACTGACAAAGCCTAATTACTTGGAATGAAAAATCTGACATACGTTTCTAAAAGCAGGAACAAATGCTAGAATCCCTAAAGTCAGGAATGTTTATAGAATCAGGGCAAGATGTGGATATCAAATACAACGTTAAAGACAGAGGCATATTGTTACATTTTTGGTATAAATAGTTATACCCTCAAATATTTCATTCAACGGATTCTGCTAAGCATTTCGATTAGTTGGTGTGGAAGTATGACAAACAGTGAGAGCAGAAATGCAGACAATGAAGGCAAGTACCATGTGCAGCTTAGTTCACTGCAAAACAGAGTTTTTGTTTTTGTTTTTGAGACAGAGTTTCGCTGTTGTTACCCAGGCTGGAGTGCAATGGCGCGATCTCGGCTCACCGCAACCTCTGCCTCCTGGGTTCAGGCAATTCTCCTGCCTCAGCCTCCTGAGTAGCTGGGATTACAGGCACGCACCACCATGGCCAGCTAATTTTTTTTATCTTTAGTAGAGACAGGGTTTCACCATGTTGACTAGGATGGTCTCGATCTCTTGACCTCGTGATCCACTGCCTTGGCCTCCCAAAGTGCTGGGATTACAGGCTTGAGCCACCGCGCCCAGCCAAAACAGAGTATTATTTGTACTGTTCACAGTTAAGTTTGGCTCAAAGCTTCCTCCTACTTGGGTAATAAAATTTGGCCCAAAAGGTCAGGCGAACTGGCTTACACCTATAATCTAGAACTTTGGGAGGGAGAAGCGGGAGGAGCTTGAGCTCTGGGGAGACCAACCAGGGCAAAAGCAAGAGTTGTCTCTACTGGGTGGCAGGGAGAAGAGGCTCAAAACTGCCTCTGTATATGGTGAGCTGCAACCTGGCTTAATGTGCAAGTAAGTTCTAATCTAATTTAACAGTATATCCTCTTAACCTATCAACTGAGTCTCAGCCAATCACAGTAGCCCAACCCTCAACCAACCCCAAATAGAAGGCTGCCAAATTATGCCCAAATAAGGCAAACTCAGAACTGCACCAACCAGGTAATCTCTGTAAGTCATTTCCTGTCACACATAGAGCTCACCAGGAGGCAGAACATCTTCCTCCACTTCCATAATCTTTTTCTTGCCAAATAACCTTTGTTAAATTTAAGTGGTCTCAGGTTTTTTTTTTTTTTAACAATATTCATCATATTCTAATTTCCCTGGTATTATGTCATAATTTTGGCAGTACCTAATGGCAAAATATTTTAGGTTAGAATAGTAAAAATTGTTTATTTCCAAAGAGTGCAAATATATACATATCAAGGATATTCAGATCTAAATTACTAAAACAGCAAACACTGAAAACACCCAAATAGCTAGCAAACTGGGATTCACTAAATATATTAAATTATACTGCCTATGAAATATTATGTAGCTACTAAAATGAATGAAGTAGATTCATAGTTCCTGATAAGAAAGATGTTTAACATTTCTCAAGTGAAAAGCAAAGGCAAGTTGCCAAAATGAAAGAATTATTTTAATAAATAACTAAAAATTTAAAAATCAGGCTGCATGTGGCAAAATATAAAGGGAAACATCCATATTCATTCACACACTGGAGGAAAAAAATTGAAATAAAGACTACCTTTATAAAAGAAAACAAAAAATGTAACTATGCACGAATATTATTACAGTAATAATCAAGGTAAACAAAATGACAAAAATCCAACCATGATACTGCCATTCCAACTCAGAGAGCTGAACTTGTCCTTATGTAAAAATTCACAGATAATGCAGTAGCAATTTTTCATTCTAATGAAAAAATACATAACATTTACTATGTTTTACAGTCTTCAAGTTTTCTATTATGTATCTTTAAAGTACATTAATTATTTTTACTGTCTTACTATGTACTATCAAACTGCTTTCTTAAAGTACATATCAACCGATTCCTACTTTTCAGAAGAAAATAATAGTAAAGTAGTATATTCACACGTTAGGACTACAGGTGCAATTATATGAGCTACTGCTGAATAAGGCTTACTTTAAACTTTGACCACAAACACTGTCTCCGTCTGCTTAAGTACACTCCAAATAGCTCCGTTATTTATTTCAATTATAATAGCAATATTTTTAAAGTGCATCTTATGTTCAAGGCTCCATGCGAAACACTTGATAGTCTGCTCTTACTCATTAAGCAACAATACTTTTCTTTAAAACTATGCACATCAAAAAGCTTTTAAAACAAGAAAAGTAACTATTTTTTACAAAGGTACAAGACTTTTCATTTCTGTATCAGTGTGAAAAGTAATGCTCCTAACATTAAGTGGGTGGTATGGTTAAGCATTCACTAAAATATAGAGATCATGCAATTTCTTGAAACATTTCACTATGACTTAATCATTTTAAGTACTGTGACCCTGTAAATCAAGCATTCATATCCATATGCAACTAGAATTGTCTGTGGCTTCAAAATGCTGCATGAGTTTAGGTAACAGAAAATGATTTGTTTTTGAAACTCAGGATGGCAAATTGGGCTCAAGGGGATATGCATGTGGGCAGTTACAAAAAGAGCAATGCAGCAAAACTGGCTAAAGACACAATGTGCAGAATTTCATTTGTTAATTTGATTACCTATTTTTATCTAGAGGACATATCTATTTTAGAGGGCCCAAAGTAACAGAAAAGAACATGAAGAAAACTTCCAAAAAACAACAGGCACAAAGGGTGGCCATCATGAACTTAAGAGCCCTTTATTAAACTGTTCAGTTAAAAAAATTGTCAAGGATGTACACCAAGAGTGAACCCTAATGTAAACTACTGACTCTGGGTGATGATGATGTGTCAATGTAAGTTCATCAAATGAAACAAATGTACCAAATCACCACCCCCCGCCCCGTGCTGGCGGATGATGATAATGGGAGAACTGCACAAGTGTGGAGGTATATGGGAACCCTCTGTACTTTTTGTTCAACTTTGCTGTGAACCTAAAACTGCTCTAAAAATAAAATTTTAAAAACTGTTCAACCTGAAATTTCATGTTTTTTTTTTTTTTTTTTTTTTTTGGGAGAGCAATCCTATTAAAACTATGATTGTATCATCAATGTAAGAAAGAACAGGAATTGTTCCTGAGACAATCTCAAAAAATGCCAATATTTTCAGAGGCAAATATTCATTCTGCTACTCAAAATCAACTGTTACGGCAAAACTAGGGAGTCAGCAAAAAGATCAGTGGTTGCCTACTTGGGGACAGGGGTGGTAGAGGAATGACTAGGCCGAACAGAGGATTTTTACTCTTTATACTATATTGGTGAACGCACATCATAAAAAATGTGTTGGTTGCATGTGGTGGCACTCCTGTAATCCAGGCACTTTTGGAGGCTGAGGTGGGAGGATTGCTTGAGGCCAGGAATTCGAGACCAGCCTGGGCAATATGGTGAAACCCCATCTCTACAAAAAAACAAAACAAAACAAAACAAAAAATTAGCCAGGTGAGGTGGCGTACACCTGTGGTCCCAGCTACTTGGGAGGTTGAGGTTAGAGGATCTCTTGAGCCTGGGAAGTTGAAGCTGCAGTGAGCCATGATGGCGACACTGTACTCCAGCTTGGGCCATAGAGTGAGATCCTGTCTCAAAATAAACAAATAAATAAGTACATTTGTCCAGGCCCATAGAGAATGAACAGTAAGAGTGAGCACTAATGTAAACTACTGACTGGATAGTAACATGTCAATGTAGGTTCATCAATTGTAACAAATGTACACTCTGGTGAAGGATGTTCATAATGGGGAAGCTATACATGAGTGGGGCCAGGAGGTAAATGAGAGCTCTTTGTACCTACTTCTCAATTTTGCAGTAAAACTAAAACTGCTTTAAAAAGATAGTCTTAAAAAGAAAATCAAGAGTTATGACACACAGAACTGTCAGATGACTGAAGTTTTGGTCCCAGTTTAAACAGTCTTAACCCCTCCTCTATGCAATGAGGAGGCTGAATTAGACAATCTGTGTCTTCTACCTCTTAATTTCTTGTTCTTAATCTCAATCTATGAAATGATTACAAAATGTTGAATACTCTGTGCCGTGTCAGCATACCAAAAGCCTTAAGTAGAGCCCAGACCTATCAAAGTGTTCTAAGTAAATGAAGCTAATTTGTTAAGTTTTTCAAATGCTTTAAAGGGATGTTTAAACTGAAATGTTTTTTCAGTAATATGAAACATTTTAGGTCTGTATATGAAACTGTATCCAAGGTCAGGTGATCTCTGAACATTCAAGGTCCAAGGGTATTAAAAGAGCCCAAATACTCAAACACCTAAGGATGCTCCAGCATAACACCATTTCAACGCTATGACAATCAAGACACCACAACACAGCCTCATCTGCTGCCAGGAGAAAGAACACTCCACAATCTTGTAATAAAGATTCACTACCACAGTAGTTCCTAGACATTTTCCATTATAAAGACTGCAGTTTTTAAGATGGTGAAATGGTTTGGATCTGTGTCCCCGCCCAAATCTCATGAGGAATTATAATACCCAAGGTCGGAGGTGAGGCCTGGTGGGAGATGACTGGATCACGGGGGCGGAGTTCTCATGAATGGCTTAGTGCCCTCCTCTCTCGACACTGTATAGTGATGAGTCCTCAAGAGATGTGGTTGTTTAAAACTGTGTAGCAACTCTCCCCTGACCCTCTCTTGGTCCTGCTCCTGCCATTTAAGACACCTGCTCCTGCTTTGCCCTCCACCATGAGTAACGGCTCCTGGAGGCCTCCCCAGAAGCAGAGGCTGCTAAACTTCCTGTACAGCCCACAGAACTGTGAGCCAAAGAAACCCTTTTCTTTATAAATTACCCAGTCTCAGGTTTTTCTTTATAAAAGCCATGCAACAACGGGCTATGACAGATGGGAAGTGTCGTCATTTCATAAATATAAGTCTCCTTTAGTGCGAGACACACAGAGCTTGCAAATAATTGTTGAATAAAAAAGCGAGTTCACGAAACGTAGCACATTTGTTTTACGTGAATTTTCCTCATTTTGCTACTCAGTGGCTAAAACTTAGTCACAGACAAGCCCAGAAACTGTCAGGCTGGAACCCAAGCTTATTGGTATTTCATTATGTTTACTATCCCATTCAATCTGATTAACAACCAGAGCTTTCAGCCCTCCCCGCCAGTGACGTAGATATCTCCACCTCTCAAAAGCACCTTTTCTCTTAAATGCCTTTAGAATCTATAATATCTATCAAGTACTATTTCTTACTCTTTCTGCTATAAGTTATGTATGCATCTCTTTAATCTCATTTACTAGAGTAGTAATTTTCATGCCCAGTACTTGCTCACACATCTTGCCTTTTGTGGTTTCAATTATTCTGCAAGGTTGTAGATAATAATGATCCCCTTTTACAAACGAAGGCACAGAGATGAAAAGTAACTTGCTCTAGGTCACCTAACTTCAGACGGAACAAAACTGACATTCCAGTTTTCTGCCGGACTCCAAAGCCAACTATTTTCACGCCATTCATTCCCTCACAGGTTCTATAGGCGCCAGATCCTACAGGGCGCTGGAGATACGAAGGCAAATGCTGCCATCCCATTTTCAAACGAGAGCCCGCTTGTCAATAAAACCAGGCGTGTTGCTGGCCCTCCCGGGCAAGGACCACGTAGTGGCCTCTGTGCCTCCCTCCCACTTGGGTGCGCAAGAGAGTGCGACCTTGGGGGGCGGATACGGAGGAGTGGGTGGGTCCGGCGCCTCAAAGGGCCTAACACTTCGGAGTTACATGGCGGGGAGGAGTTCCCCGAGCCCTGGCGGTTCTAAGTGGGCATTGCTGGCCCGCGTGCAGGAGGCAAGAGTGCAAAGAAGCGGTGCCAAAGGGAGCGGCGGGGTGAGGGGAAAAAAAAGGGGCGGGCAAGAGAGAGTGTTGGGAATCCTAAAGCGCCAACTTCATACGCGGCGCACGCGCATCTGGGATGCGGCAGAGAGTGTTGGGTTTCCAAGCCCCACGTCCGAGGGCTACCGCTAGCTATCCGGCCCGGCCGGGAACTGCGAGGGGTCTCGCTCTCCCGCCGCCCGGCCCTGCGTCGCTCCATTGTTTTCTCCGCCGAGTACTCACCACCCGATTGTCCCGCTTCCCCATGGTGCTGGGCCGAGCGCACAGTCGCACGCCGAGGGAAACCGGGCCGGAGAGACGGCCGAAGTGGGCCCGCCGCACGTCCTCCTGCCACCTCCCCACTCCGCCCAGAGAGCGGCACTGCACGGACCTGACGGCCGCGCTTGGCCACAGCGCCCCCTGCCTCTGCGGAGGACACGGCGGCTCCGGCGATCACAGCAGTTGGCTGAGGGCCTGCGGGAGTTGGGTTGTTTATTACGGACTCAGGAGCAGGCGATGCTGCACTTCTGCACCGCAGCCCTACCAAGGCAGCTCGCTTCCGTTTGGCCTTGGATTGTTTTGCTTTCTTCCATTCTTTTTTTTTGGAGACAGAGTCTCGCTCCGTCGCCCAGGCTGGAGTGCAGTGGCGAGATCTCAGCTCACTGCATGCAGCCTCTGCCTCCCTGCTTCAAGTGATTTTCCTGCTTCGAGTAGCTGAGATTACTGGCTCCCGCCACCATGCTGGGCTAAATTTTTTGTATTTTTAATAGAGATGGGGTTTCACCATGTTGGCCGGGCTGGTCTGTAACTCCTGACCTCAAGTGATCCGCCCGCCTCGACCTCCTAAAGTGCTGGGATTATAGGCGGGAGCCACTGCTCCCGGCCTTTCTTTTATTCTTAATGCACTGAAATACTCATTCTAGGGGACACAAAGATTCTTCTGATGCTTATTTTGTGCTTGGCGGAGTGCAAGTGCTGGGGACAAAGTGAGGACCAAGCAGCCTTGGTCCCTCACAGAGTCCATCAGCTGGTAGGGGGGAAAACAGTGCTATCACAGGCGCTGCTAACGAAATCACCCTTTAATTTCAATCCCACTCATTCATCACATATGCATTCATTTCACACCAATTTTTGAACATGTAGTTTGTACAGTTTTCACTAACTGGGTGGCTGGAAGCTGGAACTGGGTAGGGCACAAAGATGATTAAGAAAATTCCCTATTGTAAAAAAGAAGAAAAAAGAAGTAAAAAGAAAAATCGCTATTGTCAAGAAGCCTGTTTATAAACTCATAAGGGAGATAAACACACACAGGGCCAAGTTTACTGAGGATATCATAATACTGGCACTACAGTACTCAAACTTCAAGGAAGATGATCTGGGCTCCAGAGAAGATAAGTTTTATTTAGTAAGTATTTATAGATAATGCGACCCCTCTAGGCTCACCTTGCAAATGTCATTAGGAAGTAGTTGAAAATCAATTAGGATCTTCTCTGGACTCTTGGAAAGTGGCAAACTGGGCATTATACTCATTACATACAAGAACATGCTTTAAAATCATCTTTCCCAATCTCTGCCTCCCTCCCTGCATTTTTCATGCTACACTATATGACAGATGTGCCTAACTCCCATTTTCTGTCTCAGAACTTTTCCAGACTCTTACATTCAGCCCTTGGTGGTTCTGCTCCCCACAAAGTGTTGATTCTTCCTCAGTAACCCACTTTCCAAAATGAGGCCTCCAGTCTCTCATTTCTCCTCCTCCTCCCTTACCCCTGACTTAAGCTGGGGACTCTGACTAAGGACAAGCTTCTCTTTATGCACAGGAGGAAGAGGAGAACCTGTGAATATTAAGTTATTCTTTTTTCCTGGCTAATTTTTCATTTTTAAAATATTCTATGCACTTGACAGATATTATTTTTAATACCCCAACATGATAAGCATGATAATACCTGTGAGAGAATATAGGTTTTTTTTTCTTCACCTCCTTCTTACCTTTCACTTCCTTAGTTGGCTGATTTTACAGAACATAGAGGTTTTTAAAAATATGGTATAAGCCAACAGAAAGGTTGTGTTTCCTTTAGAAGTCTCTCTCTCTCTCTGCCAATGTACACAGTCCCTTCTGGATGAAACATGGATCCTTGGGGAGGACAGAGAAACAGGAAAATGACCAGGGGCCTGTGGAGATAATGAAGATGGCAAGAGCTATTGGGAGCTCATCTGAGTGGACTCCGCATAGATCAAATCAGTCCAAGACTTCTCAGGATATAATTCAGTGACAGTAGAAATCTTTACACATTCTCTGCACGTGTGATCTGCTAATAAATACACTTCCCTGCTAGTAATGGGCCTATATACCCTCCCAAATATTCTAGGCATAACCAAGAGATTACATTCCATTTTGGGGATGAGAAAAACTGAGTCTAAGAGAAGCCAAGTATTTTGTGCCAACTTCCACAGCAAGATTGAGCTCAGGAGTTGAAGGCCAGCCTGGGCAATAGCGCAAAACCTCATCTCTACAAAAAATCAGCTGGGATTGGTTGTGCATAATAGTTCCAGCTACTTTGGAGGCTGAGGCAGGAGGATCACCTGAACGTGGGGATGTTGCGGCTGTAGTGAGCTGTGTTCATGCTACTGCACTCTAGCCTGGGTGACAGGGTGACAGAGTGAGACCCTGTCTCAAAAACGAACCAACAAAAAAACTGTGAGTATATACAGTATCACAGTACATGCAACAAGAGGATGTATTGGTTGAGCCTTATGAAATTGCTGGTATGCAGTAATTTTTAACCTATGGGAATGGCAATTTCATATGGTTCAACTTTTTACATATGTATGCTTGAAACCTTCACTGCTGGTTACTTCATAATGGTGTTATATAGAATAAAATCCATCAGTTAAAAATGTTCAGTTTGATGAGTTTTGATAAATGTATACAGGGTGGGCATAGGAATTTTTATTTCTCACCATATTCCCTTCTTTCCTGATTTATTTTATTTAATAGGACTGCTCAACTAATCAATTCCCTTTGCTCCGATTCCACACTCACCATGTAACTTCTGGATGCAATTTTGCCTACATGGAGAGAAAACAATGGGCAGCAAACATGATCATCTTGTTCTCCTGACAACTCTATTTCTCACTGTAACAAGTTTTAAAAGGATGTTTTTTTAAAAAGGCTTTGGATCATGAAAAGCAAATAGACATTCATTTTAATTAATTTTCCTCTTGTAAACCCCAGGTTGAGTACTATAACTGGATAAAGGCAGTGGAAGCTACCAAGTAAAGTGAGTCAGAAAGGAAAGTTCCTGGTGTTCATGAGGGCGCCAACTGAATCAATGGGTTATAATTTCACTGTAATTTTCCTCTTGTTCCACCCTTGTTGAGGTGACTCACAAGCTATAAACGTTCTTGGACAATTATTTCAGGATGGCTTTGTTAGCATTTGAAAGAAAACATCTTTACTTTTTCTTTTAAAAATCAGCTTTATTTTTTTCCCCTCAAAATTGGATGTCAAAAAATCAGCTTTATTGAGGTATATTTCACATATAATAAAATCCATCAGTTTAAAATATTCAGTTTGATGAGTTTTGACAAGTGTGTATGATCATATACCATGACTACCATCAGGATATTATTTTCCATCTCTCTAGAAAGTTTCTTGTGCCCTTTTGCAGTTAATCCTATAACCTTGCTAAATTTATGCACTCTATTAGCTTTTTTTTTTTTTTTTTTGGTAGAGCCTTTGGAGTTTCTGCATAGATGCTCATACTATCTTTGAATAAAGAGAGACTTGCCAGACATGGTAGCTCATGCCTGTAATGCCAGCACTTTGGGAGGCTGAGGCAGGTGGATCACTTGAGGTCAGCCTGGCCAACATGGTGAAACCTTGTCTCTACTAAAAATACAAAAATTGGCTGGGCATGGTGGCACATGCTTCTAATCCCAGCTATTTGGGAGGCTGAGGTGGGAGGATTGCTTGAACCCAGGAGGTGGAAGTTGCAGTGAGCTGAGATCTTGCCACTGCACTCCAGCCTGGGTGACAGAGTGAGACTCTGTCTCAAAAAAAAAAAAAAAAGAAAAAGAAAGAGAGAGAGAGAGAGAGAAACTTTACTTTTCTTCCAATCTGTGCTTTTTGTTTTCTTGCTTATTGCATTAGCTAGCACTTCTAGTACAATATCGAATAGAAGTGTCAAAAGCTGACATATATGCCTTGTTCTTGATCTTAGGAGGAAAGTACGCTGACCTTATGCAAGTGTAGGGTCACTATTGCACCGGGTCACACTTCACACCTCACATCTTTTACTTTATACTTAGTAACTTTCATTTCACAGTTAATATTGTTCACATCCCACTTGCTGATCAATTCTTTATTGAATCCCATCGAATCTGGCTTCTACCTCTACCACCTCATCAAGATTTCTTTTCAAGGTTGCTCATCTTCTCCATGGTGCTTAATCAGTTGCCCCTTGTTTTCCTTGACCTATCAGCAGCATTTGTCACAACACTGATTCTCTTCTTATTACAGCAGCCTCCTAACCCGGGCTCCCCGCTTACATCTTTGCCACACTGAAGTCTATTCTCAGCAGAGCAGCCACAGTGGTGCTTTACAAACACAGTCAGATCACATGTCACGTCTGTGATTCTTGCCTTCCAGCAGTTTCCCATCTTATTCAGAGTAAATACCAGAGTCTTTGCATTGGCCAAGAAGCCCCACCAAGATATGCCTCTCCTGCCATTAACTTCTCTGGAATATCTCCTTTCTTTCTCCTGAAGTCAGTTGCTGCTACAGCCCCTTTGCTGTTATTTGAACCTGCCGGTCATGCTCCTGCCTTAAGGCATTTGCACCTGTTTTTTTCTTCATCACTAGCACACCTAGATCCCTCTTCTCCATAAGGCATTTGATCAAGTGTCACCTTCTCTTTGTGGCCTTCACTGACCTCCTCGTTTAAAATTGCATCCCCACATCACTTTCTATTCCTCATTTTTTTCCCCACACCACTTACCTTACATCCAAGTTTATTACAGTTATTTGTTTGTTGCCCCTCACTAGAAAATAAGCTCCATAAAAACAAGACATTTCATGTATTTTGTTTACTGCCACATTCCCAGTGTCTCTGGCACATCGTGGTGCTCAGTGAATACTAAATGAATGAATGGTTTCACCACCATATCTGCCGGTCTGTTTGTACCTGTACCCACAGCTTTACCTGCCCTCCCATCCTTTTCTCTCTCAAGTCCAGCTCTTCCTCTTGTTCTCCTGGCCCCTTTCTCTCCCCCTTCTCATCACCTTGGCTTCTTCTGTTATTCCTTCTTTTTCACCCTCAGTCTCTCTGTTTCCACAATGGACTGTCTTCCGGAAAACAGTAATTTTCCTTTGAAAAATTACCACATCCTCCCTCTAACT